TGCTCGCGAGCGAACTTGTAAGCTTCAGATCGGCAACAAGGCGCCTGTGCCCCCTGCCGATGTTTGCCGCCGCCACGTCAGGTTGTTTTGGGTTACTGTAACTGAGGTGTGCAGTCGGCTCGGCCTCAACCGGCCGCGCCGCCGCAGCAGGCCCTGAGGCCCACATGGCGGCCGACCAGCTGATAAGGAGTCTTGATTGTGTCTGTGTGTCGCTCGTGCGTGTCGTCATCATCTGTCTAGCGTCCACCCATACCGCGTTGGTGTCCAGTCCGAGCCTGGCCGTTCTTCACTTTCTACCTACCTACCTTTGCATGCAAGACCGAGCCGCCAGCGGGGCGAGAGCACCAGCCGACAACCTGCCGACATGGCAGTTGCGATGGCGCGCACACACACACACACGCAGACGCAGTGTGCCATTGACAAATCTTATATACCCCCACACGGGCAAATAGCAAAATCCGAATACCGTGCACGACTGCGTGAGCTCTGCGTTGCTCTGCCGTGCAAGCCTTCAGCTGGTGCCAAGACGTTTTACGGGAGCACTGCAAGCAACCATGGGTTGTGCAAGCCTCGCGACGGCACCCATGGAGGCTTTCCACAAAGCTCTCGCAGTCACCGGGCTTGCCGCCGCGACAATCCCGTTCATCGTCCTCAGCTCGCGTACATGGCTGAGCCTCACTGCGGCGGCTGCTGCCGTCACAGGCGCCATCTACCAACAGCAGGTCCTCCACGTTCGTGAGGACGCGTGGACGCACATCGCAGTGGGCACGGGTGCTTTGAGGCTCTCGTGGATCGCAGTGTCAGGCAACGGTGGGCCGCTGCGGGTGCACTGGGTCTACGGGGCGCTCGGTGCGGCCATCAACTTCATCATCTTCCTAGGTCTCACTATCAATCATGGCTACGCCCGGGTATATAACCAGATGCACGCCGTCATTGATCTCGGCCAAGTGGTCCTATTCATCTCGTTTGGAATGGAGAGTGCCGTCAGCAGCGCCTCACGCCACGGATTCTGCGACACGCGGCGCACTCACCGCTGGCTCGCGTCCGCTGCACGCATACGTCCGCTGCACGATGCCACGGCTCTCGTTGCGATTGCCTTAGCGACGATCAAACACCAGCACGACCGTCAGCCCATCGGAGTCTTCTTCCACGAAAAGGCGGGCTTCTTCGTAGCCGCCGCCGCCGCGCTCATCTTCACGTCATCGTGTGTGCATGGCCACCTACCGTGGCAGGCACCGCTCTGTAAGATGATGCGGGCATTGTATGCGTTGTCGCTTGCGATGATCGGACTGCTGCTAATTCACATGGCGGTCTTTGTGTATGTCGAGCAAAGCTGCAGCGGCTTCCATCACATCATCTACGGCGACGAGGCGCGCGACGAAGTGGTCGCCACCGAGGTGTGCTCGCGTCGCTGGGGCCATCACGCCACTGCTTCCCCTCTACCTCCACTCCAACTCCCCCAACTCCACCCCAACTCCGCTCCACTCGGTGTAGGTGGGCTGGCTATACCTCCTCGTCGACCTCTACCTGAGTGCGCTGCTCGTCTGCGTCATGGAGGGCAATGTGACCGACGATGCACGGCGAGAGCACGGTCGCATCATCGTCATCGATGACGCCACACACGAGGATGAAGGGCTTGCCAATCTCGGGGAGGAGCATCCTCCGCAGCCCATACGGTTGGCGGAAGAGGAGCAGGACCAGGTGGGACACACACCTCGATGGTAAGCTGCTCGGCCGGCGTCACGTGCTGTCGCTCGCTACAGGCTTACTAATAACTTAGTAAAGCGGCCGAGAGCGCTCAGTGGGTGACTCTCTCATCACCCAAACCATGCCATAGTTGCCACGGGCCGAGCGGCAGACGGCAAGTAGCTGAGACGTTACGACCTGGTATCCTGGTAAAGTACGGCTTTGCGGGAGAGCAAGATGAGCCTCAAGCTGATGAATGCGTGTGGGACTTGTGACCATGGCCAGTGACCGATCTGCAGAACGTCGAGGATGAGAGAGTGTCGCGGATTAGAGAGTGCCGCGAGATTTAGCCGAGATTTCCCGTTCGCGGAAAATTATGATGTGATCTCCGTAACACTCCCGTCGGAAAGCGGTTCCATGAACTTTGAACTTTTCCATGCCATATTATTCATAGCTCTGTGAAATTCGGGGTCCGCCTGCTGACAGCTCGGATCAACACAAAAAGAATGTACGTAAGAGCCACATACATTGAAAAATTTAGTAACGGATATTTTTTCTCCTCGCGCCATTGAGTTGTTTTGTTTAATTTCTCCGCGCACACTAGTGCGTCTCATGAACGCACCCCGCACACGATCTAGAATGCATCGCCGTGGCCGAGTTTCTGGAGGCTTGGTCTAAATGGTAAGTGGACATTTGCATTACAAAACGTTTATTTTCGCGTTGCAAATCGGAACGTAACCTCGAAAATGGGCGGATGACCTCGCAGGTGGGATTTTTGGGGTGGGGAGCGTAAGGAATTGACCGATTTGCACCGTTCTCTGCTGTTTGTCTCGTTTTTCACCGATTTCAAGTATCACGGACGGCGCGACTAGAACACCACCACAAGACCGCCACGAATAGAAGGCACGACCACCAATAGGCCCCGCAAGGAGCATGGAGGCTCGCCCTTCCTCAAGATGCGCTTGCTTGCTGGCTTACCAGGCTTTTCTGCTCTGCAAAGAATGGACGGCACCGCACTCACTATCAGACTTTGAAGTCCCAACTTTACGATCCTCAGGAGCGTTCATATACACGGAGCGTTCATATACACGAGCAGTCCGTTACGCATTCATTGGTCGGAGCGATACATGCACCCTCTCTGGTTGTCCTTTCCTCATTGTTACGTCACTGTTGCGGCGCACTGACAGATGGGGCCCTCTGTCTCTTCCCGAGGCGGCATGGCCGTGACCGTGAGGACCTCTCTCGAGGTGAGGACCTCTGCACGTGAGGTGAGGACCTCGAGCTGCGTGAGGACCTCTGGTGGCTGGGCCTTGCTAGGGCACACGCCAGCCAGGAGACTGAGTAGGGATAGCAGGGAATTGTCTTCGGCAAAATTTAATCTTTCCCTCCCTACGTGTTTGTTAGCTCCTTTCATCGGAGAGAGAGATTTTACAATACCAAACAACTCGGTGCTGTTCCATCTCCTCATGTGTGAGATTTCATATCACAGAGCAGCCTCGCTGTAGCGGGGCGAGCAGGCTGTAAAAAAAGTGTGATAGACAGCTGATTCGCGCGCACCATAATGAGGTTTCTTGCACACACTTATGGCGAATATAAGGCACGACCACCAATCACATGAGCCCATCAGCCCCCCCGGGGGCATATATGGCTCATCCTTCCTCGCGGGGGGGCTGTGTAAGATGCGCTTGCATGCTGGCTGGCCAGGGCAGGCTTTTCTGGTCTGACTCGCAAAGGCATGCAGTCTCCTGGCTGGCGTGCCCTAGCAAGGCCCAGCCACCTTCCAGAGGTCCTCACGCAGCTCGAGGTCCTCACCTCGCGCGCAGTCGTCCTCGCACTCGAAAGAGGTCAACCGCACAATACTTCATGGAAAAGTGACTAAAATATCTCCTCTCTCCCCACAGACAACATTTATGCAGCAACACCACATCAGTCCACGACGGTTGGCCGCCACCGTCCGCCCACCTCGAGCTGGGGCTTTGTACGAAGCAACAACAAACACGCGGCTGTCAGGTTTGTGGTGTTGCATCGTAGCTAAACGCGCATCGAGGAGATCAAGTGAGCTCGCTGACGGCCTGAGGACCTCTCCCTGAGGACCTCTCCATGCAGCGGCCATGATGAGGACCTCTCCTTGTGTCAGTCCCAGGTCAGGACCTCTACGTAGGGAGGCGAGAGGATCGAAGGAGAGTCGCACCTCTCGGCACGCCCCCTCCCTGCCGAGTTTTGTCATCGGTTGGGCTCGGTAAGGCTTTCACGGCGGCGCTCTTGGGATGTTAAGGCGTAGCACGATGCCTCGCCGTGAGGACCTCTCGTGAGGACCTCTCGTGAGGACCTCTCGCAAGCATCTTTGAATGCTTGGGCGGCGAAGAGGAAGGGGCGTGCGACAAGCAACCTGCTTGGGGCGTCGCCTTGGGGCGCATCAATCATGGGCCGCTAAGCGCCTATAGGTCTCGCGTTTCGCCTGCGTAGTCGAGACAAAAGGAAAAGCACACGATTACAAAGAGAATGGGATTCCTTAACAAGATTAGTTGAGTTGTATGTGTGCTGAGATGTGCCACCGGTTGTCCCAAAGTGCGTGTCAACATACCCTTCGCACACGGGAGTTTGTGTTTCTTTGCTGGAAATTCTTTTTCGCTCCGCTTTCGCGGCGGCTCTCTTGTCGCGACGACCGGAATCGAGGCCGCTTCTCAATCCGCGGAAGCCGTCAAGCCAAAGGCGGCCGAACCTGCCGCGACCTGGGTGGGCGACGACGGCGTGACCAAAGAGGAGCTCGAAGGCCTCGACCTGGCAAAGTTTCCGTGGCTCGGCAAGTCGTTGCGGTCGATGCTCGAGCTGGCCAAGAACCCGCTCCGGCGGCTGCTCAGCGACAAGATCATGACCCTCGCGACCAGGAACATCACGCTGGCGCCGGTGGATCCCTCGAATGCCGCCTTCCCAAAGCTGCTGGCTGAGGTCAAGAAGGTGGCGCAGGTGCCCGGTTTCCTCGCCGCCGCCGGCCTCCTCGCGGCCCTCGCTCTTCTCACTCCCACGCCCTTCGCCCTCAGGAGCGCAACCAGGAGCTGACGGACAAGGCGGCGATGGACGCGATAGGTGGCAAGACAAGCTCTCCTCTATATACAGACGACATCCGTGAGCATTGGACATATAGACACGCGAGTGCACTGCTCACTCGAGACACGGGGAGATGTGGCACGTGTTTAGCTGTGTGCAGCGGCATTCGCCGTGCTCCAGCCCTCGCACACTGCACGCCTTCCACACGCCCATGTCCACGCCCTGCCGCCTGTGTGTGCGACGTGCTGAATGGGACGGCAAGGCACTTACTGTGCGGAGCGCCGCCGCTCGTCGGCGAGCGCGGCGTCGACGGCGGCCTGCTGGCGGCGCGCCGCCAGCTCGAGCTCGACACGCCGCTCGTCGGCGAGCGCCTCGCCCAGCTGCCGCCGCCGCCGCTCATAGTTGAGGAGCAGCGACACCTGCCGGAGCTGCGACGTGCCGCGCCCACGCGGCGGAGGCGCGCCGCGCACCTCGGCGGCGATCAAGCCGAGGACGTCGCGGCAGCCCTCCAAGAGGTGGACGGCGCTGTCGGCGCCGAGGCGCGGGTGCAAACCCTCGGCAAACGCGCGCAGCTGCGCCGTCACGTCGAGCTCGACATCGAGCGAGGACGCGCCGCCGCCGCCGTCGCCGCCGCCGCCGCCCGCATCGGCCGCGTCCGAAAGGATGTGGAGAGGAACGTGCGCCTGCCGCGCGAGATGGTCGAGTTCGCGGTCGGCCTCCGCCGGGTCCTCTTCCGGCGAGAAACGGCCGACGAGCGCCGCATAAGCGCGCGCTCCACGTCCGCCTTGTACGCGATCATCCGGCGCTTGTACTTCACGAAGTTCGCCTTGGTCTCCGGCGTGGCCAGCGCCGGGAGCGCCCGCGTCGGCGCGAGCGACTCGTGCCCGGCCATCGCCTCGACCCACCTTGCAAAGATGAGACCCGCATCGCCGGCGCCGCCCCCGCCGCTGGCATATTTGCCGGCCAGGCCGACGAGGGCGTAGGCGTCGATGAGGAGCAGGCCGCCCACGGGCCTCGCCAGGGCCGCGGCGGGCCCTGGCGACCCCTCGAGGGACGCCAGGGTGGACAGGGCCTCTGCCCTAGCAAGTTCTGAAAAGAGCGCGGTCGCCTCGCCGATGCCGCGGAGCTTCTCCTTCGAGGTGTGGAGGTCCTCAGGGGTCGCGACCTGCGATTGGCTCGTCGGGAATGGTCACCAGCGTCGACGTGTGCGACCTCTCTCCGGAGGCGTGCGACCGAAGGGAGAGCGGTGAGGCGAGGCTGAAGTCACAGCTGAAGCAACTGGATTTCAGTTGCTGACAGTTGTGGGCGCTCCCGCGTGAACTGACGGCAGGTAAGCCGGCAGGTGGGGGGCGGGGGTGGTGCCGGGTGGATCCCCACATGCATAGTTCGCGCGCCCGGGGGGGCGCGCGAGCATGGGAAAGACGCACCTCCATCGTGCTTGGTACCGGCGCTCTTTTGGCCGTTGGCACCATCGTTGATGACTTGATTGCGCGGGAGTCGAATCCCAAAACCTCTCCGCTCGAAAGGGAGTTTAATTGTTTTGGGGGATTCCGACCGACCTATAGTGTACACGTGAAAATCGCGGATCGTTTTTAAGTACGTTCCCGTCCACTTACCATTTAGACCAAGCCGGAGTTCGAGCTCTACTTTGAGCTCGCAGTGTTTCTCCACGTGTTCACCCTCGACAGCTCTCGTCGTACAAGCTCATGTTTCCACAGTCAGACTCAGCTCACACAGACCTATCTCAGGTCGCACGCGTCGGAGTCGCGCCCACCTGCTCACCCGGCAAGCCTGCCGCCTCGCGAGCCACCGCGCACCTCCCCCCCTCCCCCCCTTTCGGCCGTGGCTAGCCCAGCTGCAGACGCATCAGCAACTTCGCCGCGCCGCGTGCCACCAAGTACGACTTGCCAAGCCACACCGCCGCCTGCGAGGGGGGCGCGCGCGGGGGGGAGTGTTGATGGGAGGGAGCGACGGCGCCCGGAACATAGCAAGAGGAGACGCGGGGTGCGCGGGGCGATGTGCTGCGCCATCGCTCGCTCCGTCGAGCGCGGTGGCGACGGGCACGAGCCCGGCGTCGCCGCGGCGCGCGAGTCGCGGGGGTGCGGGTTGGGGTGGCTTACTTGTGGGAGGCATGATTGGGAGGGGGGGGGGGGGGGGGGGCGTATGTGTGGGTCGCTCGCTGTTAGTGTCTTGCCCGTGCGTGTCTGTGTGTCGCTAGTTTGCGGCCGTCCCTCCATCTCGCTGCTGTGCGGGGCCCCACACCCACACTGGTATCCAATCGCTGCCTTGACTGTGCCCTCACCTCTCTCTGTCTCACTCGCGGGAGCGCCGCGCCGTGGCAGGCGACGCGAGAGCGGTCATCGCCGCCGCCGCCGCCGCCGCCGCCGCCCCCTGCTCCGCCTCCCAGCCGTCTGGCAAGTGGGGCCTCTCTGGACGAGCCCACGAGCACACCTAGGGACATAGTACTGCGGGACAGGTCCGAATACCGGCATATGACTTCAGCTCTCGGCAAATGTCTTCAACTCTCGGCAGCTCTCGGCGGCTCTCGGGAAGTCTCGGCAAATCTCGGGAAATCTCGGCAAATCTCGCCCCTCCCCCTCGAGAGACGAGTCCAGCGAACCTCGGCAAATCTCGGCAAATCTCGGCAAATCTCGATCAATCTCGCTCCTCCCCCTCGAGAGCCGAGTCCGGGTCCGTCACGCGAATCCCCGCGGGGTGCAGCAGCATGGTCGCCTGCAGGTATGCAGGTATGAGCTAGCGCGGATGGCACCACTGCTTGCGAACGATGCATAATGGCAGTCTCCGCGGGGTGGAGGAGCGTGTGGGGTTGGACCTAGTGCTGATGCTACCATTGCCATACGTGTAGTGGCGGTCCTCGCCATGTGTCACCCACTGGTGTGCTCCGTGCTGCTGCTCTCCCAATAAGAGTAGACGGACCTCGCTGTATCTCGGCTGCATCTCGGCTGCATCTCGACTAGATCTCGGCTAGATCTCGGCTGGATCTCGGCTGGATCTCGGCCAGATCTCGGCTGGATCTCGGCTGGATCTCGGCTGGATCTCGCCTCCCCCTCCGACGCGCAGCCCGCCTGGTCAGGTCAGGCCAGGTGAGGTGAGGTCAGGTCAGGTCAGGCTAGGTCAGATCCTCGAGGTGAGTTTTGGAGGTGGCGGGGCAAGGGCGGTGCAACAGCTCTGCCTCCACGTCTAGACGACAGGAGCCCCACGGCATTTCAAAGTGCAACGCTCTGTGTGTGTGAGTGGTGAGTGGTGAGTGGTGAGTGGTGTGTGTGTGTGTGTGTGTGTGTGTGTGTGTGTGTGTGTGTGTGTGTGTGTGCGTGTGCGTGTGCGTGTTGTGTGTGTGGTGTGGGGGGGGGGGGGTTGAGCAAGCCTTGCCGGGCGCGAGTGCGCGCTCCGACGTGTCGCTCGGGCAAGGCACGTGCATCGTCCGCACGCGGATGGCCTGGGGAGATATGCGGAGATATGGGGAGATATGGGGAGATATGGGGAGATCAGTCCGCACGCGGATCGCCTGCTCAAGCAGTGAACTAGCTATGAATCACTCCGAAGGGAGTGGGGGGGGGATAGCCCACTCGCGGTGCTCGCCTACAAGACAATGGCGCGGCTGCCGAAGAGAGGCGCACCACGCTTGCGCGCGGTCCCGCGAGGCGCGGGCGTGCCCGCGTGCGCAGATCGCGCAGTAAGCACTGCACCTGAGGAGATATGGGGAGATATGGGGAGATGTGGGGAGATGTGGGGAGATGTGCGCAGGTCGCGCAGTAAGCACTGCACCTGAGAGGGCGGCGGCATGTCTTTGCGTTGGATGTCTGACTAGTCAATCTCTGTCGGCCTGTCCGTCCTCGACTGCCAGTGCGAGTGGTCTGGGGTTTGTGATCTTGTGAGAGGGCGGCGGCACACGGCGGACAGGAGTGAGCGTGCGGGGAGAGGCGCATGCACATGCACATGCACATGCGCATGCACATGTGCGGTGCTGGTCGCGTCAGGAGTGAGCGTGAGCGTGCTCAGGGAGAGGTGGTGCGCAGAGGTGAGCAGAGGAGAGCAGAGGTGCGCAGAGGTGCGAAGAGGTGAGAAGAGGTGCGCAGAGGTGCGAAGAGGAGGTGCACGTGAGCGTGCGCGCAAGGGCTGGAGCGCTCTACACGTACTGCAGAGGCGCGTGCAAGAGGGTGTGTGCTCGCAGCCCTCCTTCTCTCTCCCTCGCTGCACGTCCCTCCCTCACCGTGCACTGCTGCTTCCCCATATCTCCCCATATCTCCCCATATCTCCCCATATCTCCCTCACCGTGCACTGCTGCTTCCCCGCCAGCGAGCGCCAGCCGTGGTCCGCAGACGTCGTGTTTTCGAAGCGCAGCAGGACGGCGCCCGCCTCGAGGTGGCCGCGCGTGTTGGTGCCGGTCGACGCGAGGACGGAGAAGCCGTTCCGCTCCGGTCCGTGCTGCGTCGGGAGGTACGAGGCGCACTCCGGAAAGGTCGCCACCCAGCGGAAGCCGGGCGAGTACTGCAGGCCGGTCCTCCGGTCGGGGAAGAGGACGACAGACGGCTCGACCGAGAGGAAAGCGAAGAACTGGTCGGGACAGACCGACGTGGAGACAACCTCCTCGCAGTGCTGGCCGAGGAGCATGCGCTGAAGCGCCGAGGCGCCGGTGGAGGTCGGGACAGATCGAGGCATCTGCCATTGCAGCTTCTCGAACAGGTCGTTGTCCGAAGGCGGTGGCGGAGGAGGAGGCAGGTCCGGTGCGGAGGCAAAAGCGGCGGCGAGCGTGGCGAGCGGCATCGGCGCCCTAGCGAGAGCCCAACGAGCTCCTTCGCTGTCGGTGCTCCAGTGTCGCAGCAAAAAAAGAATTTGTACCGCCTTTGTAGCCGCGGGCGCCACGTTGGAATGCGGAGATAGTAACTACTCTCTGTGGTGCCCTTTTGGCACTTTGCTCGTGTCCCGCGTGACCCTCTGTCTCACATGAGTTTCTTCCCTCGATTGTGTCACGCGGGGTTGCTTTCTGTGTATGTAGCTTTCGTGCGCGGCTCGCGCCCTGCTTCTTGTGTCTTACATCTTTTTACGGCCCTAAACGCGAGACCCCGGCTGCCCCTTCGAGGCTACACGCCGGTGCCACTCTCGCGTTTCAAACGTGGTGACCCGCACCTCCTAAAAGGTTTGTCGTCTCCCTTGTTCTTACCTCTATAGAGCGACACGAGACTGCCTCGCTCCCGCGGTCTCTGCGCCGCCGCGTCTTTTTGACACCGAAAAGGCCCCGCCGTTTGTGGAACGGCGCTGCTTGCTTTGCAGTCGGAGGAGTACGCGCCAGGCGTAGCTGCGTCCTGGCTGTCCACCTGTGGACGCGCCAGGCTCAGAGGTCCTCACAGCGAGAGGTCCTCACTGGCCCCCTACACACGCAGAGGTCCTCACTAGAGATCTATCTCGTCGCCACATCATCATCTGATCAAGACGTCTAAAGCCCTGTCCACTATTCGGTCTCCTGGGAGCCTGTGGGGCCATTTATCGTTCCAACCCAGGAAGGGAGAGGGAGCTCCCCTTTTCAGACCCCCCCAACCGCGCATTAACTCGTCCCCCAGTGTACGCGTGCAACCCTGGTGGCGGAGGAGGAGGAGGAGGCCGAGGAGGAGGGGGAGGAGGGGGAGGAGGAGGATGCCCCCAAGGGAAAGCTCAAGGAGCTGGATGGCGATTACCCCTTTGCGCGGCAGCAGGATTGCGATCTACGTTTGTTTGATTTTGAGGCTTTCGGAGGCTTTGGAAAGGAGGTTCGCAGCACCCTGAGGGAGGCGGCGAACCAGCTGAGCAACAAACTTTCGCACGCTCAGCACCTGGACGAGGTCACATGGACCACCAAGAACTGGCACGGGCTGCAGATGCAGCGCTTGTCTGTCGTCCTCCACACCGCCGTGGCGTGGCAGACGGTGAACGAGCTAGCGTGCGGGGAGAGCGGCATTGTGCATGGTGCGGAGTGCATTGCCGTTCTTAACGGAGTCGCTTAGGCGGCTCCGGTGGTGAGCCTGTGTGTGTGCCAGTCCGCGCCAGTCCGCGCCCTTGTCGTGCCAGTGTGCTGTGAGAGAGGCTTGTATCTTAAGAATTCTTTCACAGTGTGCCCAGCCGCCATAGCCAATACCACGATCCGGCTAGCGGGCAAGGTTCTCTTCCACTGCTGGGATGTGCTGCTCTATGCCTCCAACTCCTTCTCGACGGGAGCTGCAGGGTGGCTTGCATGCGCCACGTTGAGGGTTGTGCTGCCCGGCGGCTTCCGGGCCGTTGCCCCTGGTCGTCTTGGGTGGATGCGTGGGGTCACTCTCATCGGCCTCCCGATTACAGTGCGGCCAGGCTGCAGACGTACCTCGCTCAGGGCTCAAGTGCGGCCTCGCCGGGTGGATGCGGGGGTCTCGAGTTGGCGACAGTGCCGCCTCGACACGCTCCTTGTAGGTTGCCGATTCCATCGAGCTCACGCGCATCATTTTGACCTCGGCAGCCAGCTCATTCAGCCGCGCCTGTGCCTGCTCGCGGTAGGCACTGGCAAGCTGCAGCTCGTCCTCAACCATATCATTGACCAACGCTGGACGACCGCCAACCTTCTGGTCGAGATGAGCGCAGCGCTCGACGCACGGCAGCGTCCCGCGCACCAGGCCGACGAGAAAACGGCCCGCCTGCGCCGGCGCATGCTTGCCAACGGCGTACGCAGGCACTCTCGGCATCGTAGCCATATAAGCAGGCGCGCGCATTCGGGCGTCTTTGCATCGACCATCATCTCCTGAGCCTGCGGCGCCATGAAGAGAAAGCGCTCGGTACAGTGGTTTCGCGTGCCGATATGCAGAGGCAGAGCGGACAGGGCGAACGTGCGCCGCGCACTCCCTGGACGATGGCGTCGGTGATGATGTCGTTGAGGGCAGCTGCCATCGCTGGATGCGTGATCACCGCCGCAATCAAGCGAGCAAGTCCTAATATGCAACAAGCAGCTGTCAGGTGAGCTAGTTCACTTTGGCGACACGATCGACAGCAAGTGCGTAAATGCAAAAGCAAGCTGCTGCAGCACGGGTAGCGCGTTGAAGATGAGCGCGCGCGTCACAGCGCAGGCCAGGTCTACACTGGCCGCGGCACCAGCTCCCGCGGTCTGCACGCTAGGAGTGGTCCGCCCTCGCAATGAATGCGGAATACTATTACGAAAAGTACAACTAGTGCGACACACTAGTCAGTCTCGTAATCGCGCCAAGAGCGCGGATACACACACAAACAACAGGCGCGGCTATGAATAGCTGCGCATATACAGATAACGACTGTTCACAGTTGGGAGAAAGAGAGTCGTCTCTAACGCTCCCCGGCATGTTGTGCGAGTATATGGGACAAAAGCGTCGAAAATGTCCCAAAAAGCGTGTCTCGAGTTTGTTGCAGCCCCACAGCTGGCGCGCGCTGCCAGGAAGCACCGCTCGCGTGTCGGCGGCACTCCCTGGCACCCAGGGAGTGCCGCGAACCGACCAGACCGAATGGGCTCGACGCCGCGCTCGCTGTGGGGCTGCAACAAAGTCGCCGCCGAGCGTGCCACCGACGGCGTCCTGGCGGCGGTGATGGAGTGTGAGACCTGAGGCTGCGGAGGTGACGCCTGAGGTACCGGCCCGTGCACAGCGACTCAGCCGGCGACCGCCACGGGCTCAGACGAGACTTGTCGACTCGTTACGGCTCAGCTTCACCGTGGTCATCGGGCGTCTGTCGACGTCAGGACCACCATACAGCTCGCGGGTTTGAGGTCGCAAGAGCCAAGATGGTGGCGTTTGGACATCCCAACCATCACACAAGACAGCCTGTAGGTGATGGCGGGACGGCGCAGTGTTTGTGGCACTCGGCAGTAGGCACCCGCGGCACGGCCCCGCTGAGTTGGCTCTCGCGGGCTGCGGAACCGGCCCCAGAAGGGGACGGTCCGGGCGAGTGTGGCAGCTCCTGCGCTAGTATGGGCACCCTCTATCACAACACTACTGATCCTGGTCATTAGAGCTGCCAGGGATAGCGTCAGGAGCCGGTAGGAGTCAAAACCTCTCATATTTGAGACATCGTGTCCCATATACTCGCACAACGAGCCCCCCCCTAGTTGCATCGGCAACTATCTCGGACGACTCGCGCGTCTTCGGCGAAGGGGTGATGACTCACGCCTTGCCGACGGTCGCGACGAGCTTGCTCCACAGCCGGGCAGCCTGCCCCTGGAGCGTCACAGCAAAGCCGGGGCCGTTGCTGGCGTTGAGCATGTAGTCGCGACAGGTGAAGAACATAGCTCGCGTCGCCTGCGTCTTGGTGAAGACGTCGGCGATCATATAAGCAGTGCCGACGAGGTACGGCGCGACGTGGCGGAGCATGAAGAGGCGCTTGACAAACGTGGTGGCACGTTCGTAGTAGCGCGTGCGAGCAGTAGAGCCGGGCTTGACGATGATGTCAAAGACGGCTTTGCAGTCACCGAGCTGGGGCGTGGGGCCTGCGACAGCTCGGCCAGCGTCCTCGAGCATGAGCCGGCAGGAGACGACTTTCTTGGCGGCTACGGAGGCGGTGGCGGTCTCCTCTTCGGCGACGCTGAGAGCCTCGATCTTGGACTTGTTGGCGCTCCAGTCGATGGCGCCGTTGTTGAACATCACGACGCATCCGCCGTAGTGTGGCGCCTTGCCGAAGGAGGCGTCATGGTAGGCGTGGAGGCCACGAGACTCGATGAAGCCTGGCGGGAAAGTGTCGAGTCCGTAGGGGATCTTGAGCTTTCCGCCGTAGGTGATGCCGAGGTGCTTTGTGGCGTTGAGATAGTTGATGACGGTCATGATGGCGTCACGATGGACGGCGCCGCAAGCCTGAGAGAAAGAGCCGAGCTTCGAGAAGAAGTACTTGATGTCGGGGCGCGTCATCTCGGCAGGCCACCCGATGGTTCCTAGCGGCTTCAGGAACTCGGTGACGGGGATGCGGTCGCACTCGGCAGCAGGCTCGAGCTTATCGAAGAGGGCGCGCTGGACGTCGGTCGAGCCGGCTGGGGTGGACTGAGCACCAGCGCCAATCTCGTTGCCGTAGAGGGCGGCAATCCGCTCGATGTACCGGGTCTGCCGAATAGTGAGCGTGCGGTTGGCTCGGTCGCGGAGTACCTCGATTCCGGTGAAGACGGAGATGGGGACGATATCGAGCGTCGCAATCTTGATGTACGTTCCATATTCCTCTTTGAACCGGACGTACTGGTCGGTGGCGGAAGCGGCAAAGCCGTTTGCGACGTCGTCTGCAAAAACAACGATGATTAGGCGAAAGGCTGGGTGGCTGTAGAAGTTTGGCTCGGTGAGCGAGGCGACGCAGCCAAGCTTGACGAGGGCGTCCTGGTTGAGTTTGAACCAAAGGTAGGAGCCCTGTTTGATGCCCTCGAGCGCTTTGAGAAGCATGAGCACAAAGCCCTTCTTGACGAACCCGGGTGGCATCTGGGTGTAGATCTCGGCATCGACGTCAGCCTGAGTAAACGCCTTGACGCCGTCGGCCGTGTCAGTCTCGAGGTCTTCGTCAGCGACTATGGCACACCATAGGCGGAAGGCTGTTGCGCTCAGAGTGCGCGCAAAACACTCGTGGTACTCCTTGCCTTCACGTTGTCCAAAGCCTTTCCCAACGAGACGAGCCTTGACCTTGGCGATGCTGCCGTCGTCATTGAAGACAAAGGTAAAGACCCACTTGACTCCAATGACGTGCATCCACGGCTCCTGTCGGACAACGTCCCACGCTCGGTTGACGACGTACTTTCCGTGAATCTCATCCTCCATAGCACGTTTGATGAGAGGCCAGTAAATAGACTGGCGAGCCTGTTCGACTGTTTTGATGTCGGGCATAGTCTGTGAAGCGACGGACTGGATTGCAAGCGCTATCTCGATTGGCGGCGGCTTGCAGCCTGTGTCGTTCCAGACGCATGCGACCTCGGTGTTGTCGTCGTCGATGAAGGCTGAGTAGGCTATCTCTGCAAGCCGGTCAGTTGCGAGGCGGGCAATAGTCTGTTGCCCACTGGCAAATGCGGCGCAGCCGACGGCGGCATAACGCCGTACAAGGGCTACGGTGCCGTCGCTGGCTGTCGGACCATCTGCGTTAGCTGCTCCCCCCTGGTCTGGCAGGCCAGCTGGGCGGGCGGGCGGGCGACGCGCAACAAAGTGCTTGGGCAGGAAGGCACCGGTGGCGCGGCCAAAGGGGAAGTCACTCTGCATGTATGTGATTGGCGTGTCACAGGAGATGGTCTTCGCGATCGTGAACTTGTTTTCTCCGCACCACGACGTGACGCGGTAGCTGCCGACGCGACGGAGCGACGGAACATAGGCGAAGTGGCAGTGGTGATTCTCGTCGTATCCAAGGTGGCAAGCATCGGCCTGGGTGTGGCTGATCTTGTTATCCTTGTCTCGCAGCGGGATGAAAACAGTGACGTTGCAAAATAGAACTCGCGCCCATCCAAGTTCGGCTGGCTCGAGATTTGGATTTGCAAAGTCACGTGGCGAGATCGGGGGGGAATGCGACGTGGTGGCGAGGTGTCGGAAGATGAGCTCGCTCTGTCGCATAGCCCACGGCCACAGGCACTGGGGCGCATCGTCGGCATAAGCAAGGCACGCGCACACAGCGTGCTGGAAGACACCGTGGCGTGAATTGAAGGGCTGTGCTGTACATAGAGATGAGTCTGCACGCCTGGCATCTGTGCCCCGTCTGTCGGTCTGTGCCGCGTCCTGTGCCCACGCGTATTCATCAACCTATGAAGCGGCGCGCACTCGCAGTCTCGCACGACGACGAACACAGGTAGGTACACCACGAAAGAATTTTACAACAAAACTCTCTCGCACGACACTGGGCACGGGACTAGCGCGCACACACACTGGCACTAACACAGCTTGCACCACACGAAAGAAACCCAAAGCGCACGCACAGAGGGTGATGTGTGATGTGCAGAGCCAGGAGCTAGCACGGCCGCAACCACATGCGCCACAAGTTACACATAGAGAACAGTCGCAAGGGACAATCTAGCCTCCCGGGGTGATTGCATTGAACTAAGAGCGAGCGAAGGAGGAGGGGGAGCCGGCGGTGACCAGAGCGATGAGAGGCCCCTACGGCTAGCCCTGCACCTGGAGGATGACGGGTCCGGCCGTGCATGCGCGTCACTCGCAAGAAGGGTCCACCTCCGCGATAGGGGCGCCCTGCGCATCGGCGGCTTGGATCACTACGGCGCAGTGCTTCATCAACATTTCGAGCCGGTTGCGCATTTTCTTGATCTTGGCCTTCACTTGGGGGGACGCGTGCTCGCCACCAACCATGTCGTCGTCAGGCGACGCTTCGTCTTGGAAGCAGAAGCATCCGCGCGAATCCGGCGGCAGACTCGAGAAGAGCACGCTGCGGGTTCCGTGAGAGTTGTTCTTGTACTCACAGTAGCAGGTCGAGCCTTCCGCGCAGCCATGGTTGTCACCGCACTGCACTGGCGGCGGGGGTGCTGGAGGATCGGGAGGCGACGGCGGCGACGGCAGCGCCGGCGGAGTCGGAGGCGATGGCGGCGGCCGCGGTGGGTACGGCGGGAAGGCCGGGCCTCCAGCACCGCCGCACGGCTTGCGCTTCTTATCCGGGCACGACGGGTTATGCTCGGGCTTGCGCATGCTCGGCTCCTCGCGAACAAAGTAGGTCGAGTCGGACGAAAACTGCGTCGAGCCTTTGTTGAGCCCCCCTGAACAGCCTGCTCCGTCCAGATCCACAAAGTGGGCGTCGGCATCCTTGGACTGGCAGGCGGAGCGCGACCAGTTGTAAAAGGCTGTGGCGCGAGGGGCACGGCCGGCGAGGTAAGAGCGGATATGGCTTGGCAGGGGCGGGACTGCGGCAACCTACGCGTGTGGGGGCTCACCGTGCGTGTCGTTGATGATGGTGAGGAACCCAACACCGAAAGACGACTCGCGCACCTTTGACCACGGCGGCGGCTGGATCCACTGCGTGCTGGCGCCCTCGTAGTTGCCACCGTCGCCGATGACAACGTAGTTGGGCGCGCATTCGTTCAGGCAAGCGTTGTACACGGGCACCGACCGCTCGTAGGCATGGACGTGGCCGTTGATCACGATGTCGACGCCCGCATCGTAGAGCAGCTCCTCCATGTCGAGACGCATGGGCTCGGCCTCGCCCTGGTGCTTTTTGTTCGAGTTGTACCAAGGAGCTGCAACGTTGGGGCGGGGGCGGGGGAGGGGGCGGTGGGTGTAGTGGGGCAGGGTGCGGGGGCGGTGCAACACCGCGCTCGCCGTGAAAATTGGCGATGAGCCATGGCGTTTTGCTGCGGTTTACCGACGCCAAATCCGCGACGAGCCAGTCGTACTGGAAGGAGCCGTTGAAGGTGGCCGCATACGAGCAGAGATTGACGACGTGCATCGGGCCCACCTCCTTGGAGTACCAGAGCTGTGAGGTCGAGCCCGACTCGCGGAACGGCTGCGGGAAGCGGGCAAAGTAGCTTACGAAGTGCTCGCCGTCGCCCACCTCGTGGTTGCCCGCCGTCGTGATGACCTGAATCTTGGACATGAGCGGCTGCATCATGAAGCTCCACGAGTCCCAGCGGGGGAGAAAGCCGTCCGCGTATGCCAGGTCGCCGCCGAAGATGATTACGGGCGAGTGTTCCTCACTCTCGAGCGAGTCGAGGAGGATCTGCATGTTCTGCTCCGAGATGCTAGTCTGTCCCATGTCGGCGACGAGACCTACTTTGTAGGGGTACATGCGCCCTGGAGCGGGCGGTTGGCGGAAGGAATATGTCGACCCCAGCGTGGAGCTGTCGTCAATCGTGCCGATGGTGTACCCGCACGTCTCGCCAGGCTCTATTCCGCTGACGTTTGCCTTGTGGATGATGGGCGACTGGTAGTAGCTTCCAGAGACAGAGCCGACCGAACGCTGGATCTTGTACAAGAGGAGGCCGCCGTAGGTGCTCGCGTCGCTCACCGACGGCTCCCTGAATGGGTCCGTGGGGAACTTACCCCCGACGACCGAGAGGCCTGGCTGGAACGGGTTCCACGGCATCTTAGATGCCCAGGCGTCCGCCGAGAAGTTGGTGTTTTGAAGCGACGCGAGAAACTCGCGGTTCGTTGTCGGCTCGCCGATTCCTTCCTCTCCGACCAGGTGAGTCACCCGAATGTTCATCAGCTGAGAGTACGTGTCTTGCTGCGAGCGGAACTTCCGCGGGCTGTCGAACGAAGGGCAGTTCAATGTAACGAACGCAAGTTCGGCCGAACCTGTCCACACCACGGTCGCCGAATCAGGGGAGCCGCCGGGCATGACGTGGACTTGGCCCTCACAGTCAGCGCCGAACGTCTCCGTGAGCCCGCAAAACCCGCCGTTGGGCACCAAGTCCTCCAACGCGCGGTGAGGCACCTTGCTCGGCCGCGAGTATGGGAGCGTCGGATCGGCGTCGCCAAAGGGCCGTGAGTATGGGAGCGTCGGATCGGGTTCGCCAAACGAGTATGGGAGCGTCGGATCGGGTTCGCCAAAGGGCGAGAGGAGAAAGGGCACCGGAAGGGCAGACGCCGGCAGCGCGACGAGCAGAAGCGAGACCAACTTGAGCGACATGAAGATCTGTCTTTTGCCGTCGGCCAAATGCGGTGGATTATCTAGATAATAAAAATCCTTCCTTTTGGCATTACCTGTTGTGTGTGTGTGTGTGTAAAACCGCCAATGGCAGTTATCGGTTGTGCGGACGTCGCCGCGGCTCGCCTCTGCTGCGGCGGCTGCTGCGCGCACGCGGCGGCGCCGCTCTCTCGCGAGACGGCTGGCGACGCGGCTCGCCGCCGACGTACGCTGCGCTCGTCCGACGGTCCGCAGCGTGGCGTGCGCGGCCCTGAGCGCCGCTCTGCGAGCGCTCCTGCGCCTGCACTGCATCTCTCTGTTGCTGCTGGTGGTGGTGATGGTGCTGCTGCTGGTGGAGATGCTGCTGCTGGCGCGGCGCGGCTCTGCGACTGGGCTCGACGCGCGCGTCGCGAGCATATGACGCGGCGGGCGGCGTCGGGCAGGTGCGCTTCTCTCTCTGGTGGTGATGCTGCTGCTGCTGCTGCTGGTGGTGGTGCAGATGCTGCTGCTGGTGCGGCGCGGCTCTCCGACTCGACTCGGTGCGCGCGTCGCGGCAATCTGACGCGGCGGGCGGCGTCGCGGGCGGCAGCGGTGGCGGCTCGCGGGTGGAGGTGGAGGCTGGAGGCTGTGGTGGACCTTTGAGTTTATTTAATGGTCGACTACGAGGACTGGGGGTCAACTGGGAGGCAGGGGGTCAACCAGGCGACGGAGGACCGTGGGCCATCGCGGGGACGGCCCGCCGGAGGCGAGCTCGATAGATCCGGATGGTCACACGCCGGTGGGAGGCACCGAGGCGTCTTGGACGCTCAGCTCTACCTTAGCTCCTGAGGGGCGCGTGGTTCTAACCACGTAGTATGACTACAGCCCACCACAGACACCCTCCCTGCTCCACACGTGTGCACACACCCTCACCCTCTCCCCTCTCCTCTCTCTCTCTCTCTCTCCTCTCCTCTCTCTCTCCTCTCCTTGTCTGTGCTGTCTCCTCTCCTTTGTCTGTGCTGTCTGCCTGACTCAGGCACTAATTCTGCCGATGCGTGATTGTGTGTGGGCTGCTCCGAGGGGGCCCTGTGCAATCCGACGGGTAGGGGGTCTGTGCCCGGGCGGTGTCCGGTGCGGAGTCTCCTTCTGATCCCGCCTGCGATGTTGGGTGTGAGGTTGTGGCGGCTTCGATCCCAAGGGGGGGAGCTGATCCCACTCATAACCAACTCTCAGGGGCAGTAGGTGGGCGAGCTTCAGGCACGCTCATCTCGATCGTCAAGGCGTCGCTACGCGCGGTCTTCCGCGGGGGGAGCTGCGTCGACGGGTGCGGGACCGCGGCGCAGCCAGTGCCGCGGCGAGGCCTCCGGCTGTTTGCGGCGGGCGGCTGGCTGCTCGCTGCATGGCGAAAAACTCGTCTCGCCACACGCCAAGGGCTTATGCTCTGGCGAGACGTGAGGCGCATGCGCCCAGGAGGGGAGGGGGCATGTGTAACGACGCGGCTAGAGATGCCTTTCGGGGCCCAGAGATAAAACTTCTGTGCCATGCGTGACCTAGTAGTGTCCCCAGCTATGGGCGTGTCCACGTTGGAGCCAGGTGTGGTGTGGGCGCGAGAATAGCTCCGCCGTTCATGGAGGCAACCGATGCGAGTCGACTGGTGTGTGTCGTCGTGGTTTCGTATCAAGAATACTCACTCACTCACATTACCTGTTCTCGAGGTTCTCGAGGTGGATATCCTTTGGCCGCGTTGGGTAGCGAGGATTGGTGTAACCCGAGCCACGGAGGCGTGTTTCTTTCTGACGGCCGACCGTCAGTGCAGCACGGAGTTGCCCCTTCACCTGTGCCCTGTGCCCAGCCCTCTCCACGCCGCGATGCGCCCCCTCCCCCTCGCCCTTCCAAAAATCCTGCAAAGGTGGGGACGTGTCTGTCCTCGCTCGCTCGACCCAGAAAGAAAAGAATTCTTAAAATACAAGGTAAGGTAAGGTAAGGTAAACTTCTCCACATAAAATACAAGCCTCTCTCACAGCATACTGGCACGACAAGTCAGCTCAACCACATCTTCCAGGTGCAGCCTCCTGCACGCCCCCCCGGCCTACCCACACGTGACAGTCCCACAGTAGTCCCACAGCCAGTGGGGTGCGGCACCTATAAGCGGCCGGGATGGGGCGTGTGCCGTGTGTGCTTGGCAGGATCGTGCGAGCATTTCGGCTAACGTACTTCATGTGAGTTTAAGACGTCTAATTATATCCCATGTGCTAAGATTTCTTTTTACGAAGAACTTCAATAGTACATTTCGAGCACTGCGGCGCTCCTTTTCTTTGTTTGGGTGTGACATCAGTCGCTGGATGGGGCTTCTGTGAGTGAGGTCCTCCGGCGAGGTGTCAGGTGAGGACCTCTGCACTTGTGAGGACCTCTGCTTCCAGCTCAACCACATCTTCCAGGTGCAGCCTCCTGCACGCCCCCCGTGGCCTACCCACAGTCCCACAGTAGTCCCACAGCCAGTGGAGTGCGGCACCTTCAAGGAAGGCGGCCGGGATGGGGCGTGTGTGCTTGGCAGGATCGTGCGAGCATTTCGGCTGACGAACATCCAGTTAGGTAAGACGTTGAATTTCTATCACCTTCAGATTGTGCGCTTCATGACCAAGGTGATGCTCAGATTGTTTTTCTGGCGCACAAAATTCTTCTTTTCAAGCGGTGAACGAGCTAGCGTGCGGGGAGAGCGGCATTGTGCACGGTGCGGAATGCATTGCCGTTCTTAACGGAGTCGCTTAGGCGGCTCCGGTGGTGAGCCGGTGTGTGTGCCAGTCCGCGCCAGTCCGTGCCCTTGTCGTGCCAGTGCGCGCGAGAGTTCTTCTTTTCGAGCCTGTGTGCGAGAGAGAGTTCTTTTCTTTGAATTCTTTTCAAGCTGTGAGAGAGGCTTGTATCTTAAGAATTCTTTTCAAGCGGTGACATCATCGCGCCGCCAATGCTTCTACGCGCCCTCTTCCTCTCCACCATCGCCCCGCTTGTGCTCGCTGGCACCAACGAGTTTGGCCGCCAGTTCCTCGCCAAGAAGGCCGCCGAGGAGGGCGTCGTTTCGCTGCCGTCTGGCCTGCTCTACAAGGTCCTCCGCGAGGGCGACGGCGAGGAGCACCCGCTGAAGGACACGCAGTGCTCCTGCCACTATGAGGGAAGGACGGCCCAAGAGTACTCAAAGTCGCCCAAGGGCAAGACCTTTGACAGCTCGTACTCGCGCGGCGATCCGACCTCCTTCGCGCCGTCGGGCGTGATCGCGGGCTGGACAGAGGCCATGCAGCTCATGGTGGCCGGCGACAAGTGGGAGCTCTACATCCCCTCCGAGCTCGCATACGGCGACAGCGGCCAGGGTGGCGACATCGGCGCCGGCGACTGCCTCATCTTCACCATGGAGATTCTCAAGATTGAGGGTCCAGGCAAGCCTGCGGAGCGCGGCCCGCCTCCATTCACAGAGCTGGCTGGCGTGGACGACTACGCGTCCTGGCAGGCGGGAGCGCCGCGCGCTCTCGCAGTGCTCCGCCAGCCCACCAAGACCGCGAAGCTCTTCTCCGCCTTCAAGGCGGCGGCGCGCTCCGCCGCCAAGGCGGGGGACGACGCACCGGCGGCGTTTGCGCTGACAGCGGATTCGAGATTCGTGAAGGGCGGATACACAAAGGATGCTGTGGCGGAGAAGCTGAAGCTGTCGGCGCCCGCTTTCTACACGACGCCCGACGGCGGCGCGACTTGGTCCAAGTGTGCGACGAGCCGACCGACAGAGGCGAGCGTCGAGCAGCTGGCGGCGCAGTTGCAGCGCTGCGTCGCCTCGCCAACGACGGGAGCAGCCAAGGCGGAGCTCTGAGCGGGTGGGGCCGGGGAGCTGCGCTATCCTCGCTGAAACTCGCGGCGATTGTCGCGCCAATCAATCCCCACGATCGGACGTATATCGATGTTAGAGAGTCTCTCCGTGCGTGCACCCGCCTCAGTTTGTGGCTCAGTCATGCACACAAGCCACAAGCGACATCAAGGAGTGGTGAGAGCCTTGAGGTTTCAGTTTAGTTTGTTTGTTGAACACCGAGCGCGCGACGCGCCCGCCTGCGCATGGTGTCCGGGATGCTAATGTTTGTGCGCAAGCGGAGCGGGTAGCGCCTGAGCTCCCGCGTCCCGGGCGGGCTGCGCCGGCCGCGCGGGCCGTGGCCCACGGTGGGCGCAGCGACCAGCGTGGGGCCGGGAGCGGCCTGCTCCGTGCTCATGTATCCAGCGTCTCTAGACGATTACAAAGGATCGGACGTCACGCACATTTTGACAGCGACGTCGGAAATCGGACACATCCACTGGGACGAGTCCATTCATTCACTAGAATGACTAGAAAGGGCACCCATGGGGGGGTGATCGCAGTTTGTCTGCGGAGAGGGTAAGGTAAGGGGTAAGGTATGAGGTACACACACAAATTGGTGCACATGGTGTCACATGGCTCATGGGGGGCAACCCACTTGGAGCACTTGGAGTTCAGTTATCAACCTCACATCCAGGGCCAGGGAGCTAAGAAGCGCACCCAGCGAGCCGGATGATCGGTATCGGGTTACGGGCTAGAGAGCCCTAGCCCCGGGGGTGCGCGTTCGCAGGGCAAGGGCCTTAAAGTAAACACGGGTCCCCGAGCGTTGGCTCTGCGCTCCGGGTTTCCCCTAGCAGCGGAGCGCCCCCTCTACTCGGGGCTAGTAGACACCAGGCACTAGCACGACACCTTACCACCCGTGCCGCTGCCCGGCCGAGCGAGGAGCATGAGGACGAGTGGAGACATGCTGTCTGAGAGGGCCGCGTGCGAATCCCACTTGCATCTCCACACCCGGACACACGCGGGCAGGAGCCCCACGAATGGTGCGGAGAGGGTCTTAGCAAAGACATCACTGACACCCTTTACCGACTAAACACATGGTTAATTAACAACAAGGGCTACCGCGTTGCAACCAGCACTATCAACACACCATATCTTGCCTCTACATGGGATTTCATGGGAAAATAGATTCTGCCAGGCACAGGCACCACAAACGGAGTCAGGTCGGAGTGAGTTTGGGTCACCAAATACAGTGTAGAAGGGGGGGGGGGGGGGTCCGGATCGAGCTCTACCATATGCTCGTGGGGAGGTCCTGACCGCCTCGTGTATGAGGACTGCGTGAGGACCTCCGCATCCGTGAGGACCTTTTACACCTGCGAGTGAGGACCTTCTTGGATCTTGCGCTCTATCTCTCTGTCTCGCCCTCGGCGGCTTGTCATGTGTTCTGATTCTGGCGGTGCACGGGGTAGCAGGTGTTTGCCCTCTCTGGGTTTTTGAAACGATGGATCGACGTGCCTCATCGAGCCGCAGACGACGAAAAGGTCCTCATCCTTCAAGAGGTCCTCAGAGGCAAGAGGTCCTCATCCGCAGTGCAGCGTGTGTCGGCGACTCGCAGCGTGAAAGCAATGAGCGCAGGCATGCTCAGCGCCAAGGCGCATGCACCGCAGTCATTCAGCCAAGTGTTGTGTTTGCAAACCACGCTAGTCAGTCATCCAGTGCTGCCAGCCAACAGAGACAAGAGAGATGTGAAACATGCTGCTTCAGATGTATCTAGATCGGTTGATTTTGGTGCACTTGGGTGACGGTGAAGTTGTGGTGTCTTTATAATGTATAGTACCCTTCTATGACAACAACAAACCCCAAAACAGTACTCGCTTTCTTTTATGTCCCACCATGCAGAGCGCATCTCTCTCTCTGTTGTGCGAGGCGTGAACCGCGCCATTCGCTCTCACCTGGCGACCCTGTCTGCACGTCTCGCGCGCGCGTGAACAGGGCTCCAGGCCCCAAATGACGTGTGAGTGTTAGAGTTGTTTGGTATTGCTAAAAATCTCTCTCAAACCCCCCAACTTGCTCTCCCGAGAGCAGATGGTCAAAGAGCTTGCCTGCGGCGTGGGCGGTTGAGTGCAAAGTGCCTCGCCGAAAGAAAGAAAGAAATAAAACAGACAACCCAAGGGAGGGATGGTGCCTCGCGGCCCTCGCGGGGCTGAGCAAATTTCTTCTTTCTCGGGCACCCCTCCCGGAAATTTCCCCGTCGTCGAACTCTTTCGTGGCCTGTCGTGGCTGCCGTTTTCCAACCAGCGTCGCTGCGCCCGCGGCGCCACCTGGCTGATGTGCGAGGCGCCCTCGAGCTCCGCCTTCGTGGCGGAGGCCGTCGCCAGCGCCTCGTCGCAACGAAACGGCGACAAGGACGGCAGCGGCGCCGCCGCGTCGAGCGCTCCGCCTGCCGTCGACGTCGAGCAGGAGAGTGCGTACCTCCTGAATGACGGGCGGGTGGGTATGGCTCTCATCGGCGGCTCCATCACGCTGCTCGCCCTCATCGACGCCGCGCTCGTCGCCTGGCTCCCCTCCGCCGCCTGCGTGCGGCTCGGCGCCGTCGAGTCGAACGCCGTCTTGCTCGCCTTCACGGTGCAAACGGGCTCCGCGCTGGAGCAGCTGACGCGCAGGCCGCTGCCCTCGATGCGCTGGACGTCTCGCTGCATCGTTGCTGTCAAGCTCTGCGCCGCGGCGACCAACCTCGCCCTCTACCTCCTCCCGACGCCGTTTGTCGTCGACGCCGTCACGGGCCGGCCAAACTGCATGCTGCGGTGGGGGGAGTGGGTCGTGCTCGCGGGGCTGATGACCTTCGTGGTGGACGCGACGGACGCGACGCGCCTCCGCACGCCGCTCATCACGGCCACCTCGCAGGCCCTCTCCACACTGTGCGGCCTGCTGCTCCCACTCGCCGGCGGGGGCGCCGCCTGGGCGGTCACTCTGGTCGCCTCCTTCCTCCTCTTCTCGTGCATCGTGCTGCGGCTGTTCGAGCGCGAGGCGCGGCTGCGCGCGCTGTCGGAGCAGTGCAAGGCGGACTCGTACCAGCTCGCCAAGGCGCGCCTCGCCGCGTCGCTCATGCGCCAGTGCGTCGTCTGTTGGTCGCTGCTGGTCGCCGTCTGGTGCGGCGACGCGCTCGCGCGTCTGCTCGGCGTCGCATCCGAGGTGGACGTCGGCTTCGTCGCCGACGCCGCGATCGACGTGCTTGCCAAGCAGCTGTACGCCTCCGCCATCGAGGAAGGCGCCACGGCAGCGCCGCTGCTGCACGGCCTCGAGCGCGGCCGCGAGGCGGCCGAGCGGATGGACTTTGTGTGGCGCGGCGCCGCCGACGTCATCGTCGTGTCGCGGCGGCTGCGTGACGGGTCGCTCTCTTCGACCGCGTCGCCGAGCGTCGCCAACCTGCTGCAGCGCCACGAGGCGGGGAGGTGGGTGGCGGGCCGACAGCACGGAGAGCCGGGCGAGCTCGGAGCCGAGAGACCGCCGAGAGGCAGCCGAGAGACAGCCGAGAGACCGCCGAGAGCTTGCCGAGAGGCAGCCGAGCGGCAGCCGAGAGGCAGCCGAGAGGCAGCCGAGATGCAGCCGAGAGGCAGCCCGAGAGGCAGCCCGAGAGGCAGCCTGAAGGCCGAACTCCTCGGAGCCTGTTTGCAGGCGAGCTCGAGCGGCATCTGTGGAGTGGCGGCGCGCCGCCGCTGCCGACACACGCCGACGAGCTCGAGTTCACGCGCCTCGTCGAGGCGGCGTGGTGGCACTCGCGCTTCACGTGCCGCATCGTCCGGGGCGGAGGCGGAGGCGGAGGCGGAGGCGGCGGCGGCGGCGGAGGCGAAGGCGGAGGCGGAGGGGGAGGCGGAGGGGGTGCTGCCCGCGCCGCCGTCTGCGACGTCTCCTCTGCGCTCTCGGACGAGGCGGGCTCGTGCGTGATCATCGTTCGGGACGTTAATTAGTTAATTAGTTAATTAGTTAATTAGGCGGGCTCGTGCGTGATCATCGTCCGGGACGTGACCGAGAAGGAACGGCTCGTGCAGCTAGAGCGCCGCCTTACTTGTAGTTAGCAGCTCATAGCAACTCCTGAGCAGTTCATGAGCAGGTCGTGAGCAGGTCGTGAGCAGGTCGTGAGCAGTGAGTAGGCTCGCGCAGCTAGAGCGCGAGGCGACCGCGGCGGCGGTGGAGCGGCAGAAGGACGAGGAGGCGAACCGCTTCTCACGGCACGAGGTCAAGAACGGCGTGCTCGCCGCGCTGTCGCAGCTCGACTCGATCTCGGCCGAGATGCGGCGCAAGGTCGCGAGATAGGGGGAGATGTGGGGAGATGTGGGGAGGCATGGCCGAGAGATGCCGCCGAGATGCGGCGCACGGTCAGCCTCCTCCCTCTCTCCGCCACACCTCGTTCCTCATGCCTACTCAGGTCGGCCTCGAGGCCGGCGCCACCTTCCACCGCTCGCAAGCCTAGAAGCGGAATACGTGTTCTTGTACCCCGTCTAGCGCCCGAGAGGGCCACGTGTTCAGCTGTATTCATCCGTATTCCGCTGACTCACTGTACTCCTATCCGTTGTACTCACGCGGTGCTCTGAAGACGCTGCACACACTTCCGTCTTCCCGCCCTCATGTCGGCGTACTCAGCACGTAGGCTCCCTGGCGTCGATGCGGTCGGGGCTGACGCGCCATACCTCCAGAGTACCGAATCCAGTGTGGGTTCAGGTGCGTTGGTGGTGTGGTAGGTCGGGGCTGACGCACACGCTCGAGACGGTGCTCTCGCAGGCCCTGGCGCGGGACGTGCTCCACACCTTCTACGAACCTTCTCGGAACCTTCTGGGAGCCTTCTAGGCCCTGGCGCGGGACGTGCTCCACGGCAACTACCTGCCGCGCACGGCGCCGTGCAAGATCGAGCAGGCGCCCGGCCCGTTAGTTCGCCAACTGATCGATGGATGAGTTAATAGTTAGTGGATTGAGATCGAGCTCAGGCGCCCGGCCCTCGCCAACCCGCCAATGAGTGCACGGCTTGATGAGAATGAATGCACCACGAGGCCAACCAGTCGTTTTATTTATTTATTTATTTATTTATTTATTTATTTATTTATTTATTTATTTATTTATTTATTTACCAGCCGATGAATGCCCTCTCTTAATGAATGCACCACGAGGCCACACCAGCCAGTGTGCACCCGATGAATGGGTGCGTCGCGAGAGCCGCAGGCGCTCGGCCTCGCCTGGCAGATCAACGAGCGGTTCCCGCTCACCACGCACCCCTCGCCGCTCCCCGTGGTCGACATCGACCAGCGTCTGCTCTGCCTCGTCCACCGCAACGCCCTCTCCAACGCCTGCAAGTACGGCCGCCACGGCGGCGTCGTCGCGACGGAGGCGTCGAGTCACGCACTAGTTCATAGCACCGCTTAGTGAACTCGTGCATGAATGAAGCGTCGTCGCGACCGAGGTGGTCCTTGCGGGCGACCAGCTCACGACCCGGACTGCCAAGAAGAGCCACACCTGCGCCTCTTGTGTAGGTGGTCCTTGCGGGCGACCAGCTCACCATCCGAGTCGTCAACGAGCCGGGCGAGCAGCACGAGAGCGTGCGGGGTCTGGACCCGGCGTCGGTATTCGCAAAGGGGACGAGGCTGCACCGCGTGTCGTCGGACGAGGCGATCTCCCCATCTCTCCCCATCTCTCCCCATCTCTCCCCATAGGCTGCACCGCGTGTCGTCGGACGAGGTGTGACGACACTTCCTAGACACTTCCTAGACGTGTGCCTGCGGTGTGGCGACACCGGCGGTCACTAGTCGAGAGCTCGCACTAGAGGCCGCCATCGCATTCGCCTTCCCTGGGACCCGGTGCTGACTTTTGACTGCCGTCGGACGAGGCGATCGCGACCGCGCGGGTTTCCAAGGGGGACGGCGGCTGGGTGATGGCCAAGTGCGCCGAGTGCATGCTCGGCGAGTGCTCCATCGCCTTCCGCGAGGCGGAGACGGTGTTCGAGTTCCGCTGCCCGGCGCCGCAGCGGCTGGAGGCGCCCCTTCCCCTCGAGGGGCCGAGCCTCCCCTAACGAAACATCAGCTCAGGATCGCCCCCCCCCCCCCCCCTCCTCGAGTCATTAGGAGTCCTTCCTCGACGAGGCCGACCTCTCTGCCGGCGTGACGGCGCTCGCGATCGACGACTGCGAGTTCCAGCTCGTCTGTCTCGAGGCCTAGCCTCGCCCAATCTCGGGGAATCTCGCCCAATCTCGGGGAATCTCGCCTAATCTCGGGGAAGCTCGGGGAAGCTCGCCTAATTTCGGGGAAGCTCGGGGAAGCTCGGGGAAGCTCGGGGAAGCTCGGGGAAGCTCGGGGAAGCTCGGGGAAGCTCGGGGAAGCTCGGGTGGCCCTTCTCTCCCCCCCCCCTCTCCCTCCCCTCGGCATTCCGGAGGAGCTCGTTCATGCATTGAGCCGGAAAGCGCGGACGGCCACGTCTTGAGTCAGGCCGTCTTCGCGTCGCTCGGCATCCCGGAGGAGAGCACCACGCTGATCGGCACGACGGATGAGGAGGTGAAGGGCGCGGCGGACACGATCGTCGCCGCGGTCGAGGCGCTGCCCCCGGACGGCCGCCTCCTCCTCATCGTCGACGAGAACCTGGACTTGGCCTTCCCCTCGTCCGAGACCGTCTCGGGGTCGTACGCCGCGCGGACGGCGCTCAACCGAATGCCGCCGAGCGAGGAGGCGCGCGCCATACCTCCAGAGTACCGAATCCAGCGTGGGTTCAGGTGCTTTGGTGGTGTGGTAGGCGCGCACGCTCGTGCTCGTCCGCTCGGCGAACGACTCCGAGTCCGACGTCGCCCTCTACAACGAGCGCACGCATGGCTTCCTCAGCAAGGCGCGCACTCTGCGAGCCCCGGAGTCACCTCGGAGTCACCTCGGAGTCACCTCGGAGTCACCTCGGAGTCATCTCGGCGCCCCTCGATGCCTTTGGCTAAACTCGACGAGAGTCTTCGGAAGAAGCGTCGGGGCCATCTCGGGGTACCCTCGGCCGATCTCGGGCTCGAGGCGCCGTCGGCCAGCCCGGCTAGCATCGCAGCTTGATCTCGGAGTCATCTCCGCGTCTCAGGCGCCGTCAGAGCCGGACCGGCGCACCGTGCTGCGCACGTGGGTCACCCGCTTTGGGTGCGAGGCGGTGACGCGCAAGGGTGCGCCGGCGCGCAGCGCCGCCGACAGCGCGCAGCTGGACGATGAGGACGAGATGCGAGCGGCGGCGGCGGCGGAGCTGCGGCGGCTGGTGGCGCTGATCGGCGCGGAGCGCGCCAGTGCGCCGTGGTGCGGGCTGCGGAAGTGGCTGCGCCACCTTCGAGGAACAGCAGGAATAGGGTGCGGTACTCCCTCCTGTAGGTGCGAGCTGTGGAAGTGGCTGCACCGCCTCAAGGGCGCGCTCGGCTCGAGCCGCGCCGTCGGCCAACGACTAAAAACATGAAATACGCGCCGCCCGTGTTTCTTTCTAGGCGCGCTCGGTTCGAGCCGAGCCCTCGGCTGCTGCGGCGCCGACGAGCTCATCCGGACCATCGAGTCGCTGCGGTCGCGGGGGGAGCTCGAGGAGGCGGTGTGGAGCCTCATCGAGCGGGGATCGCTCGCCATCGCACCGTCGCTCGTCCCCGGCACCTGAGGGGGGAAGGCGGGTGCACTGAGGCGAGAATCCCGTCCGTTGGCCCGGTTGGGGTACGATCGAACAGCAGCCGGTGCGGCGGAGACGGCTTTGGAGGGAGAGCGCTTCTCTCGGGGCGTGTCGCGTTGGAATGCCCCCCTTGGCACTTTACTCTCTGTCTCACACGAGACGCCGCGAGTCGGCTGGCTGTCTCGGTGTCTGAGAGGCCGTCCGATCAGGCACTCGCTTTCACAGTCAAGCTCGCTTTGTAGCAGCGTCTCTTTGTACCTTATGCTCGGCATTCTTCTCTGCTTGCCGTCTCTGGCGGCTTGGTCACCGCCGCTACCGTAATAGCGGGAAGCGGCATAACTTCCATACGGTAACACGGAGGTGTCGGGTCTCCGAGGACAGTGGCCATCACGCTCGCACCTGCCGACCCGCCACCACGGCGGCGAGACGCCTCTTCCGCCACCGCGGCGCCGGTCACAGGCCAGCGCTAGGCAGCTGCCGGCCACACCGGGCCGGATTTGCCGGTACTCGTCGCCTCGGCCCGCGCGGAAGTGTACTCGGAATTGGCCTCGTGGAGCCGGACAGACGACGCAGCCGCGAAGGGCCCGAGGTGCGTCGCCGACGGTGAGGCGGGCTGTGGTTGGAGCCGCCGGGCGGGAGGCGGGCATGGTCCACCAGCGGCATGGCTGCGAGCACGCTGGCCGGCTCCACGGCACTGTGACCGCGCTGAAGCGGCCCTCGGCAAGGCCCCTGAGGCCGCCGGAGAGCCTAAAAGTGTGAGCGGGTGCGTATACAACGGGCAGGACAGTGCTCCCGAGCCGGCTAGGGCGTTGGAGCACCTATGGAATGGCGCCGATCCCGCAGTTTCCCCGGATATTACTCGAACCCGCCGCCACCCGTACCTCGCTCCAAACCAGGCCGGAGCAGCTCTGGTCGTGCTCGGGACGGGGAGAGGAAAGTTCGGGGCACAAGAGTGTCGAGTAAAATCCGGGGAAACTGCGGGATCGGTGCCATTACCCGTGGCCCGGGACCCGGCGGCGAAAGTTTGGTCCCGTTCGGCCACACGGACGTTAGCGGCTGTGGTTTCGGCCTGCACCCTCTCACGGCTCCGAGAGGGGCTCGAGAGGCCGGAGACAGGTCCACCTTGGCGCTCGCGTCGAGCTGCGAGGCCGGATTCGAGGCCGCCAGGCCGTTGGTAGCACCAGATGGAAGGCCCGCACTTGGAGCACTTGGAGTGCAGTTATTAACCTCACATCCAGGGCCGGGGAGCTGAGAAGCGCACCCAGCGGGCCGGATGATCGGTATCGGGTTACGGGCAAGAGAGCTGGTCCCCGGACACAGTTATTGTTATGGTGTTATGGCTCTCGGGGCATAGCAGCCCAAGAGAGCCCTAGCCCCGGGGGTGCGCGTTCGCAGGGAAAGGGCCGTAAAATAATTAAACACGGGTCTAAACACGGGTCTCCGAGGGTTAGCTCCGCGCTCCAGGTTTCCCCTAGCAGCAGAACGCCCGCACTTGGAGCACTTGGAGTGCAGTCGGTAACCTCACATCCAGGGCCAGGGAGCTCAGCGCAGCCGATTTTTATACGCGAAAAGTACCCGACGAACTCACGAGGGAACATGGTCGAGGGGCATGGGCCCTACCGCGGAGGGAGGGGGAGGCGAGGGGGAGGGGGAGGGGGATGGAGGGGAGTGTGAGGGGTATGGGGGCGAGGGAATGGAGGGAGAGAGGAAGAGCAAGGGCGAGAGGGGGCAGGGGACTGGTCGATGGCATACTAGGGGGGGCAGGGTAGTGGGCGGCGATCGCCGCATACCGTCCTATGGCGGCGAGTATCGCTACGCCAGGGAGGACAAGGACGTCGACGTGCGGCTGCTGCTGTTCGAGTCGTTCGGTGGGTTTGGGAAGGGGGTCGGCGAGATCCTCTGGGGGGCGGCGAACGTGCTGCAGAACAAGCTGACGCGGGCCCAGTACCTCGATGAGGTGACTTGGACCACCAAGAGCTGGCTGGGGCTGCAGAAGCAGCGCATCTCAGTCGTTCTTCACACGGCCATCGCAGAGCAGATTGTGAATGAGCTTGCCAGCGGCGAGGGCGGTCGAGTGCACGGAGCTAAGTGCCTCGCCGTCCTCGCGGGAGTCGCTTAGGCGGCTCCAGTGGTGTACCTGTGTTAGTGCCAGTTCGCGCCAGTCCCCTGCGCAGTGTTGTGCGAGGGAGTTTTGCCGTAAAATTCTTTTGCTGTGCGAGGGATTTCTTGTAAAATTCTTTTTCTCCGGCTCCATCAATAGCAGGCTGTGAAGACGCCCTCAGAGAGCTCCGAGCTCGCCGCCGGCCCGAGCCTCGCTCAGGAGGCTTATCTGCCGCCCACACTGGAGGCGGGTGAAGAGCGTGATTGCCGAGAGCGACGCCGACTCTGTCGACAATGGCGTCTCTGCACCAGCGTCTCTTGCATGTGCCGGCCGTTGCCGCCACGCCACCGCCCGCCGCGTTGCACCCTTGGGCCTTGGAGTTTGTGGACGTGGATCTCGAGGCGCAGTACGTGAGCGACAGATTTGTCGCGACGTACGTGCCGCTGGTGCTCTTCTGCGGCGCAGCGACGGTTGCCCTCGTGCTGACGGTGGTGGCCTACCCCGCCTCTCTCGAGCTAAACGCTATCATCGCCTCTGGCGTGAGCATCGTCCTTTGCGCCCGCGTCTGGACACACCGCGACGTTGATCAGCTTCGCGCCCGGCTGCTCTTTGGGCGTGTGTGTGTCTGTGTGGTGACAGGCACTACAATGTGCTTGATCAACTGGCTGCATGCTCATCCCCCTGCGTTGAGCTCGGCTGCGGTTGTCTTCGTTCTGGCCGTGATGTGGTTCTTGGCCCCCATCTACCTACGCCACATCGCCGTCTACACCTCCCACCGCCTCCTCTACTCCGCCGTCTGTTGCGTGGCATTTGCTGCGCTCCCAACGTTCTCCGTACTCGGCCGCCCTGCGGAGCCCGCGTGTCTGGTGGGGGCTCTGCTGCTTGGCGAGGCGGTGGGCTATCTGATCGAGCGTCGCCTGCGCCTCGCCCATCTGAAGCACATCAACGCCCCGCCAGCCGCCGCCACCGTCGCCAGTGCCACGTTCCCACCGTCGCCCGCCGCACCACCGTCCGCCGCGCTGCACCCTTGGACGCTCGAGTTTGCGGACGCGGACCTCGAGGCGCAGTACATAAGCGACAGGTTTGTCGCGACGTACGTGCCGCTGGTGCTCTTCTTCGGTGCGAGCGCTTGGTTGTTGGCGGTGGCCTACCCCGCCTCTCTCGCAGAGAACGCCGTCCTCGTCGCTTGCTTGAGCATCATCCTCGGCGCCCGAGTCTTGATGCACCGGCACGCCGACCAGCTTCGCGCCCGGCTGCTCTTTGGGCGTGCGTGTGTCGGCATGGTTACCTTTGGGTGGATGTGCTACATTCCATGGCGGCATGTCCACCCCCCCGAGCTGAGCTCGGCTGCGTTTGTTCCTGCTATGGCCGTGACGTGGTGCGTGTTCCCCATCTACCTACGTTACGCTGGCTTCCACTACTCCCACCGCCTCCTCGACCTTGTTGTCTTCGGCGCGGGAGTCGCTGCCCAACCAACCTTTTCCGAGCTCGGCCGCCCTGCAGAGCCCGCGTGCCTGGTGGGGGCTCTGCTGCTCGGCGAGACGATTGGACACGCGCTCGAGTCGGGCGCGCGCAGGGCGCATCTAATCGCAGCTCTCTTCGCTACTGCGCCAGAGGGCGACGCCGGGGGGCACGCCGAGATATCGGCCAGCGAGGTGTCCGCACCCGCCCTGCCGCTGGATATCGCCGCTGGATCTCGGCTGGATCTGAGCAGATGACCCTGCCCGCAGGTGACCATCGTCCGGCTGATTGGCCAGGGAGGCCAGGCGGCAGTCTACTCTGGCCGGTGGCTCGGCGTGCCGGTGGCGGTCAAGGTGCCGCGACACTTGCGCGCGAACCACGAGCTGCGCAAAGAGGCGAGCTTCCTCTCGCGGCTCCGCCACCCGTCGGTCTGCGCCCTCTACGGCCACACTCTGCTGCCCGACGGCTCGAGCGCGCTGCTCCTCGAGCTCCTGCCGTCCACCCTCGCCGCCCTGCTCGAGCAGCCGCAGCCTCTCCCCGCCTGCCTCGCCGGCCGCATCGCCAGCGAGGTTGCGGCCGGCATCGCCTTCCTCCACCGCAACAACGTGATGCACCGCGACATCAAGCCCTCCAACGTGCTCCTCGATGGGTCGGCGCACGCCAAGGTGGCCGACTTTGGCATCGCGGCGCTCATCGACAAGACCTCTTCGCGGGCCTCGCCCTCCTCCTCCGCCTCCACCGCCACCGCCTCCTCGGCCTCGCCTCCCTCGCCAGGCCACACGGCCGGCATCGGAACCCGATACTTCATGGCCACCGCACCCTCGCCCCCCTCCCACCCCAGCCGAGCGCCTCTTCACATAGACGGCCGTGAGCAGGCGCCCGAGGTGCGCTCCTCCTCCTCGCTGGTCCAGCGGTCCGCCTACAACGAGCAGTGCGACGTCTACTCGTACGGGATGCTGCTCTGGTCCCTCATGCACCAGAGGCGACGCGCATAGCCGAGAGGCACTGCTGAGATCGGACGCCCCCCGGCTTCTGCTGCCGTCAGAGAGCGCCCTCCCCTCATCTTCCCTGCCAGGCACCCTCGCGACGTGGACGAGTACGAGGCGGGCAGCAGCCTCCATGACCTCCGCCCCGCCACCAGCCTTCTCCCGGACCGCGCGGCATTCGCGGACCTCATCCGGAGCTGCTTGCAGCTGCAGCCCGCGAGCAGGCGAGCTCTCAAGCCTCCATCGCGCCGCGGCCCTCTCTCCGAGCCCGTGTGTGCCTTTTCCCTCTCTCAGCCCCCTCGCACGCCGCTGCTTCGCGCGTCAGGCCTCTGATGGCGGACGTCGCGGCGGACGCGCTGCGCCTGGCGGCGTCCGTCAACGCCCTCGGCTCTGCGGCAGCGAACGCGGTCTTCACCGGCCCCGCGGCGGCACCGGAGGAGGAGGCGATGAGAGAGGGCGCCCGCGAGACGGGGGCGGGCGAAGCGCCTCGGCTCAGACGTCGCGTTCGATGTGCGAGTTAGGCGGGTGGCGGGAGGGTGAGCGAGAGCTTCGAGCTGACAACGCCGTGCTGGCCAACACGGTGACATGATCTGACAACGAGGTGCTGGACAATGCTGGACATCTCGGTGACGGACAACTGAACGCTGCAGCCTCTTGCGCCGAATCTTTGTTATGACTCGACTGGTCGAACGCGGGTAGCGCCGGCAGCGTCGCAGGCTCCCTCACCTACTACTGGAGCGACCTGCCGCTCTCTCCGCCCCCGCGCCCGCCTCCGCGCCGACCCATTTTGTACCGTTTTTTTGCAAGGACATGCTCCGCGCTCCGTGATGTAAATCGAGATCTGTATGCATCGCATGTTTTCTCTAGCTGTCTTTTATCTGTGACCGATACAGTAGGAGTCGTTGGGGTATACGGCAGAACAGACTACACACACCTGATTTTGATGACATTAATTGAGGAAGCCACACTCCCCTCCAGCTCCACCCACTAGCACTACCGGCTCCGGCCGTGGAGCAATAAAGCATTCGGCTTCGGCCAACAACCAATCACCAAACGAAACGGTGCCACTCACGCCCATATACACGGGAGGGTAAAGTTGTGCGCCACGCTGCTCGTAGAGCCCCTGGTAGGAAAACCGACGGCGTCTCTAGGATGGAATCTGGGTTTGGAGATGATCGTTTGGAGATTGAGAAAGGTTCCCTGGGCATATCGGTTCCCTGGGCGTTCACTAGCGCTCGCTTGCCGAAATTTTGGTTCAGTGGATTGAGAACGTCGGTTCGGTGGATCGGCCCAAATCGTCATGTGGGTGGATTTTTATGTGGGTGGATTATAATGCCGGTGGATTGAGAGTTCAGCTGGGTGGATTGAGGCGATGTCAGCTGGGTGGATTGAGATTTGTTGGTCCAGTGGATTTGTCGGTCCAGTGGATTAGCCAAAAGTGTCATCCTTACGCTTGCCGTCGATACTTCCGGGCCGTTGTGCGGGGAGCGAACCTTAACGACCGCCCAGAAGCTTTCTGAGCAAACCAATCGGGCCATGATCATCAGCATATGTCCCCTGCACAACATCGTGGGCGTTTGAGCGGTATTTGAGGAGCACCGCGACTCTGAAGTTCGGCCGGGTGGTCTGCAGACCCCCCCCCCCCCCCGGAGCAGCAGAGGCTCCGTGGGGTCGAAAAGTCGACGCTGGGAGTCGCACTCGTCAAGCCATCGCAGCACCACGCGGTCTGCACGTACCGCCCACATCCCCTCCACCGCTGAGAAGGCGCAGAGCGACCGCCGGGCCGCGTAGTCGTCGTTAAGGAGCGGTTTTTGGAGCCGTACGAAGAGGTCCCAGACGGGCGAACATACGGTTTTTCGATGACCACACGCGATGTGATATCTGCTTTTTGCTAAAAACGGGCCGCCTAGTGCAGCATCACTAGTAGAACACGCAACCACACTGAGAGCTCCACACTAGCCGGTATAGGCGAGAACCGACGGCGTCACGGTCGCTCCTTGCCGAGACAGGCTGGGAGGCACTCGACATCTTTGCCCTCACCGACTCGCTTTGGGAGGCGCTGTCTTGGATATGCAACGGTGGCATAAAGTGAATGATACACCGTCGCATGTCTCTCACCTGGAAGAATGCCAGCAGAAGCAGCAGACTCCGTTCTCTATCTTCACGTCGTCGCACTCCGCCGTAAACGTAGCCATCGAAGTATTGAAGCGTAGTGATGCCACACCACCAGGATACTGATCATTACTTCGTACAGAGGATTCCTAAAAAAAGTGTACATCACCATCGGACGCTCTGTGGCCCGCTGTGCAAAGCAATAGCGGGCCGTCAGGACAGCTCTGGGCTTTCCCCACCCTCTACGTCAGTATCCCCGCAGCACTTGAACGACAGCCCCCCGCAAACCCGACCTGGAGCGCCGTGCAAAGCACTGGCGAGCCGTCAGCAGGGTCGCGGCAGACGCACAGCTCCCTCTATCCCCGCAGCACCACGACAGTTTCCGGCGCTCTGTGGCCCGCCGTGCATGGCGGGCGCTGCAAAACAGACGGTCCGGAGCAGCGCCCCTCGCCCCCAGACCAGTAGCAGCACGGCCCGCGCCCGCGCTAAGATCCCCGACGCAGGCTCAGGCAACGTCGGCTCGCGACGTTTGCGCGATGTAGGATGTACATCAGTCCCCCGGCCCGCAGAGGACGCTCTGTGGCCCGCCGTGCATGGCAGGCCTGCACAGCAGACTCGGGGAGCTCCCTCGGCGTCCGTAGGCTAGCACGGCAAGAACCCCCATACTGTCGGCGTATCTCCTGAGGCGATGCACTAGGACTAGCCACGCATCGGGAAGTAGCACGTGGGCGTCGAGCCGAGAGCGCCACAGTCTTTGCCGATGTAGTAGAGCTGCAGGTGGACAGACTCGACACCGGAGAGGTCGAGTCCGTTGGCGGAGCCGGTCGAGCTGCTGAATGTGTTGACCTATACACGCAAGTCAAGGCAGTGCTCGTTAAGCACCCCTCCGCCGCCACGGTAGATGCCAGTCAGCACCTTGTCGCCTGGGCAGATTGCCCAATTCTCGTCGTGATTCCGGCATCCAGGGCCGCTTGACTTCAAGGCACTGTCGCACCACACGTAATCTCTGTACTCCCTACCGCTGCCTCTGGCACAACTGCCACCGGACCAGCTGGACTCCTTGCAGCACGCTGTGAACACATTTGCAACTTGTGTATCATAGTAGGCAATCGGGTAGTCGCTCGGGCAGCTTCGATACGGCGCACCCCGCGAGTGGGGTAGCTCGACGTTGATGCAGTTGCTCATCGAACCGGAGCCGTCCTTTGCGCCGCAGCAATCGATGGTCTCAATCAACGAGATGGGATCCGAATCGCCTTGTCGCGAGTTCCGCCAGAGGCCGGACCTAACGAGGTTATGGAGAACTCCATCCAAACCCCTTGGGGCGGCACACACTGTGGCTTGGAGCTGCAGCCGGACATCTTATGTGCCGTGTGTCTGTCTGGTGGGTGCAGAGCGACATTTTATGTCAGTGGTGGCCTGGGGCTCGAGCGTGCGATTGTTTATTATGCATCTACGAATGTGGCACATGTACTGGTTGGACGGGCAGCCAGCCCAGCCTCGAGTGTCAAACGACAGCAGGATGTCGACCTTATTGCAGGTGTGCTCGTCTGCGATGCGGCAGCATTTTGCCTCCTCAAGGCAGAAGAGCGACTTGCAGCCACCGACGCTGTTGAGGTGCAAGCCCGCCATGCCGCACCCATCGTTGCACGTGCTCCAGCCTGCGCTGTCGAAGGAGGACCACCAATCTCCACCGCAGAGGTTTTGGTCGCAGGTCCTGCCGTGGACGAGCGAAGCCACCAGGATGACGAGAAAGCGCGACAGCATCGCTGCGCCAGAGGTGACTCGCACCACCCACCTGCGAGCGGGGAGCGGGGCGTCAGGCTGGTGCGCACCAACGGGTGCTGCTGCGCGGTGCGCGGTCGGCCGCCCGGCGGGGTGGATGGCGTTGGCGGCAGCTGGCCTGACCGCTCGAGCAGCTGCACCCCTTCCACGTTGCACCCCCCACAATCTGTACCCCCTTTCCGAGAAATACGCCATGCCGCACCGCGCGCCCGCCCACCGCCCCGCCCAGGCGGGAAAGAGATGTTTTTATTGAATTTTGCAACAAAACTCTCTCTTTCCAAGAAACTGGCTGCCACACACCCTGAGTTGGCGTACACATAACTCAAGGCCACATCCTCCCTGTCGCCCCCCCCAGCACTCCAAGGTGCCAAGAGAACAAACAAGGGCACAACAACACAACAGACGACGACAGGGGCGAACCTACGCGTGAGGCTAGAGCAGGCTTGCTCGTCCTCTAGCAATCTCCGCCGACCGCGAGGCCGGACTAGACCGTGTGTGGGGTCGTGTGAGGTGTCTCTGGTCACTCTCCACAGAGGCTAGCCGCCAGCCGCTAGCCCTATCTCGCACTCACTGGTGGTGACAATTCTATGGGTGAGCGTATGCGAGTCGAGGCGCGTGAGCCGGGGGGACCGGGAGGCGGTAAGCCGTCGTCGCCCGGCGCTGCATGCAGCACCGTGGCGATGGCGCTAAGAGGTTCCTCTTTTCCGCGCCCCCCCCGCAAGGCGCGCGATACACCGAGCCGATTCTTGATCGCATGCCATTGGCATATAACTGGGCTTGGCGTGCGACCTCAGCGCGCCCGCCGTCAGCTCGGCGGGGCGCGCATGTCAGCGAGAGGTTTGCCGGTAGAGCGATCCCGGTCTTGTCGAACGCGAGCCCCACGCCACGGTTGCCAGCCGTGCCTTCGCGAGAGTCGCCCTCGAGCCGCGTCCCGTCGGCACTACCCTCGAGTGCGTGTCGCTTTGGTTGGCGACACCCACTCGTCGAGGGCAGTCCGGCCGACGGGAGCCTGTCGCGCGCCGGCGACGAATGCGGCGTGTGTCGGTGGTTTCGAGTTCGAAGCGACGATGGCACGACCACCGCCCTGCTTCCTGACCGGGCAAGGAGGGGCCTACTCCCGTTCCGCGAGGAACAGGGGGTCTCCCCCTCCCCCGGCCTGAGCAGCGACCCTTTCGCCCGATACCATACCCCGGAAAAAGTTGGAACCCAGGTGTGTGTGTGTTTATGTGATATATATATATGTCACACCACAACCTCGACGCCATTACGGTGCACCAGGCACGCCAGCCCTTCGACGTTCCCGGGCTCGACGACTTCGAGTGGGCGCAGGAAACAGACACGGCCAGCTTCTTCTTCAGCGTCGGAGCGGGCGTGCGCGGGCGCGACCTGCTCGTGCGCATGCTGCCCACGACGCTGTGCGTGCGTTGCCACGGCCGCATCCTCCTCGATGGGCCGCTCGGCGGCACAATTGCACCGGAAGAGAGCGAGTGGGAACTCGTGGACGGATCTCTGCACCTCACGCTGCGCAAGGCGCAGCAGTGCGAGTGGCGGATCCCGATCCGCCAGACGACGGCGACCACCACGCCTGGCACAGCGCCAGCCGCGACCGGCGCGTCCGCGCCCTCAAGGCCGGCCTCGTCTGCCACCGCACCACCACCGCAGCCGCGACGCCTCCCCGCCCTCGACCGCAGCGCGGGCGGCTCCAGCGTCCTCCGCGACGCGTACCGTGCATGGGACCGCTTCGACGAGGCGGGCGCGCTCGCGGCGGTCGAAAACGAGGGCAAGAGCGAGGACAGCATCGGCGTGACCCTCCGGGCGGGGGGCGGCACCGCGGCGCTGCAGTGCACCGACTATGTCAAGGACACCGAGGAGGTCGAGCTGGATGAGGAGCTCGGCCGGAAGCGCTCGTCGCTGCAGGCGACGCTCAACGCGCGCCTCGCCCAGGCCGCCGAGCTCAAGGCCCAGGGGAACCGACTGCTGTCCGATGGCCAGCCGCGCGCGGCACTCGAGAGGTATCTCGAGGGCGAGGGCGCGCTCTGCGCGCTCGAGCATGCGCGGGTGCTCTGCTCGGCGCACATGGTGGGCACGACCGACGCGCTGCTCACCGACCTGCGCGCCAACGCCGCCCAGGCCGCCCTCAAACTCGGCGACTGGGACGCCGCCATCGAGACCGCCACCGCCGTCCTGGAGGCCGTGCCCACGCACGCAAAGGCGCTCTACCGCCGCGCGAGCGCACACGCGAGCCGCGACGGCGACGGGGACGCCAGCAGAGCGCGTGCCGACCTGCGTGCCCTGCTGAAGGTGCAGCCGAGCAATGGCGCAGCGAGCAGGCTACTCGATTCGCTTCCGGCCGATTCGCGTGGTGGTATCATGGTGTGAGATGACAGGTCGGCGATGCACACAACTCACATAAGGGAGAAGAGAAAACGCTAAACGGAATGCGGTTTCGCGCCATTAATTAAAATCATGTATAAGTAGAGGAACGAGTCGAGATGCCTGTTGCCCGTCCGCTGCATGGGCGCTGCGCACGTGCTCATGTCGGGGACGGCTGGGCCGTGCGCGGTGGGGTGCTACGCGCGCTCCATTCGCATCCTCGTCCTCGCTGACCGCGGCTGCACGTGCACCGTGCTCCGCAGCCTCTGGAGCAACGAGCTCGACGAGACCGCCGAGGCCGAGCTCAGCAAAGCGTGGGGCGACCGCGACGGGAAGCTCCATTTCAAACAAAAACGGCCGCGCTCTCAACGGCGACCTCCGCCGCGGCAACAGTCTCAAAGCGGCTCCTAGGCATCAGGGGCCGCTGATGCAGCTGTCGCGCGCGCTCCAATGAGTTACACTTTTTTATCTGAGAGTTACACCGTTTTATGGCCGGCATGAAGTGATCTAGGAGTAGAGTCGAGGAATATAGAGGGCGCCCCGAGCGTAGGGTGCCCACAGGGCCCAAAAAAAGAAAGGAAAAAAGAAATGGGGCACCCCCGATCGCAGCACTTCGTGTTGGCCAGTCGAGAAATTGAGAGTGTGACTAGGAGGGTGGGACGCTGGGGATTCTCAAAGGTATACCCTTGGAATGGCCGGATCCAGCCTTAAAAGTACGAGATCGCGCGCGCTTCGCGCGCTGCACCGCCTATTCTCCGCGGCTGTGTGACGCGCGCGTGCCGTGTACCAGCAGGGTTGGGCGCGCGCGGCGCGACGGCGCCCGCGAGGGAAGGCGCGGGTGCAGCGGCCGCCGGCGGCCGTGCCGCCCGCCAGCCGGCGCAGCAGCGGCCAGCGCAGCGGCCGCCGGCGCAGCAGCCAGAGCAGCCGGTGCGCGCCTTGCGAGGCGAGTACTGCCGCCCGGCAGCCTTGAGGCGGCCGGGCGGCAGTACTCGTTGGACTTTGCGAGCCGTGCGCGCGCCGAGGCGCCCGCGGCGCGCGCCCGCCCGGCTGCTAGTAGGAGGCGGCGCAATATGGCCTATAGTACAGCCCTTGAGGAGGAGGAAGAGGCTGGCTGGCAGTGCTGTATGCCGCCGAGGGGCAGTTTTTGGGTGCTGTCACGGGCCCAGGGGGCTGCAGAAGGCGTCCGCAGCCGGAACAACCCGCCCCCCCAGCCGAGGCCGGTCGAAGCCCACTTGAGTGCAGCCATGAGGAGTCCTCTTGGTGCTCCTGGCGCCCGTTGGAATGGCGAGCGCGCGCCGATGGGGGGGGGGGGGGGTCTTGCTTGCTCCACACCGAGCGCCATCGGTCCGGACCGGTGCACTCACCGAGGGGTGGCCTGCACAAGGTCTGTGCCGCGGGCGCTCGGCGCCAAGTGCAGTGTCACGCTCGTGCTCGCGCGTGACAAACCGGGGAACCCTCTTTTCCTATGTACTCGGTCCCCCAACGGAAGAGGCCTCGCTCCTATTGGAACTGGCCAACATCAGATTTGCCTCGTGCGTCCCTTTTTGAGTCGAAAAGCTATTTTCTTTTGGGTCCTGTGGGCACCCTACCGAGCGTGAAGTTTCCTTTAGACGACGATTCACTACCCTCAGATCCCACTCCGGGCGTGGAATGAGATCAGCTCTCACTCTCAATACGCGACGGCGGGCTCGTCGGGAGGTGCACGGGAGTGCGTTGCACGCACGGGTTGATGGTCAAGGGGGGAGGGCGCTCGGCTCGGGGCCTCGCCCCGAGCACCCACGACTATATAAGAAACCCCGCAGCGTGATTTGAGAGCGAAGACACGTCAGAGTTTTGCAACCGCCGGACCCGAGGCACGTCGTGAATCTATACGGTGTGAAGCATCTTTGGCCCGCCCGAACCTAAACCAACCGCACGACCTGGCTACTTCCCCAGGCCGTTTGTGGCAGCAGCCCGTGCGCCTCGCCCACCTCCGGCGGCATGAGCACCTTACCCAGAAAGTGCGCCGTGCCGTCAAAGGCCGACGCACAGCGCTTGGGCGCAGTGAGCGAGACGAGGACCGACGGCCGCAGTTCAGCTCCGCCTCCAGTCTTTGGCGGGCCCGCGTCCACGTCCCAGCCCGACGGCACGTCGACGGCGACAATGTGCGGGAAGGCGCTCATGCTCGAGAGCACCTCGCCAAACGGCGCTCGCAGCGGCGGCCGGAAGCTGAAGCCGAACACCGCGTCGACGACGACGGTGGTGCGCGAGGGCGGCGGGAGCGCGTCGACGAAGCGGACACCCATCTGCTCGAGCGATGCGGCGAGGCCCACGTAGAGCGCGCCGCCGTTTCGCTTCGGGTAGTAGGCGCTGACCGAATATCCGAGGCTGGCAAGGTGCCGAGCGGTTACCATGCCATCTCCGCCGTTACCGCCAGGACCGAGGACCGCGAGCACGTTTGGGTATGCATTCGGTGGGTAGATAGCGAGTACTGCGTGCGCGACCGCGAGGCCACTGAGCTCCATGAGGCTCTCGACGCTCAGGCCAGGAGTCGGCATGAGCGCTGCGTCCACATCGGCAGCCTCCTGCTGTGAGAGGTGCTTCAGTGGCGCAGCTGGCACGCGCGGAACATTGGCGCAGACGTCAGCAGCTGATTCAGCAGGCTTCTCGTGTGCGAGCAGCGCGAGCAGGCAAAGCAGCGACGTGCAGCCCAGCAGCAGCGCGGCGCGTGTGCCTGACGCCGGCACCGTCGGCAGCATTGGACGTTTTGACGGCACCGTCGGCAGCATTGGACGTTTTGACGGCGGGAAAGTTGCAACTTTGCGTTACTTGACATGGCCGCGAGCGGCCGGGCGCGCGAAGCCGGCGCTCTCTGCCTGCCAACCTTAGCGGGAGAGGCCGCGTCGGTCACGGCGACGGCAACGGCGCTGGCGAAGCGGGCGGCGTCCTCCGAGCGGTTGCCGCGGCCGCCACCGTCGCGGTTCAGCATCTCGCCGACGTTTGCCATCATCTGACGCTCGGCGGAGGCGTCCTCGGAGAGGATCAGGCCGGCGGCCGGGTTGAGCAGGCGCAGCTCTGGGTCGCGGGCTTGGCCGCCCATCACAGCCGCCGCCTCCTTGAGGTGGCCGCACCGCACCATCACCTTCAAGTACTTGGAGGCCTGCAGCTGCGCGTGCGACGCCGCCTTCCGCGCCGCCTCCGCGCTCATTCGAGCCCGCCCGAGCGCGTCGTCGCAAAGGCCGCGTGCCGCCCCTCCGCCGTCGCACCGAGGTCTTGAGGGAGATCAGCGGCCAGCTCCGCCAGCTTCCGCTTCTTCGCCCGCGCCGCCCCCGCACGCTTGGAGGCTCGGCGCCATGTCCGCCGGCTGCCTCGGCATGCCTGCGGTCGCGCTTGCGCCGCGCGGCCTGCTTTTGGCCCACGGCCGGCGGCCGCTCGTCGGCACGCTCGACGGGCGCGGCGGGCGGCTCCTCGACGTGCGACGGCTCGATCGCGGCCGCCGGAGCCCTCGAGCGAGTAGTAGCACGCACCGCTTCCACGTATCGCGCCCGTTTGGCCTTCTGGCCAGTGTCCCAGCCCTGTCCTCTCTTCTTTTGGCCACTCCTGGGATGCCGCCGAAGCGCGGCCGAGCCCCTCTTTTTCCTTGACTTTGTGGCAGTTCCGCCGGCGCCCTCGGGCATGAGGCACTCGGTCTAGCGGGTTCGGCGCACTCAGTGGGGCCCAGGGAGTGCGTGTATCGCCCGACCGGCGGCGTCCCGCTGATGAGGGCCGCGCTGGAGCTGCCAAACATGGCGGGCACCCCAATCTGAGACATTTTCGACGCTTTTGTCCCATATACTCGTGCAAGCTGCAACTACCCAACTCACCCTCCAGCTCCACACCCCGTACTCTATGCCGTAAACGCCTTGCCCTTGGAAATGCGGTTCGGCTAGCTGGCACCCTACTGAGGCATTTTATATCGATATAGTTCAAACACAAAAAAAAGACGTCCGGCAAAGCCGTAAGGTTACCGATGCACGGCCTACGCTGAGATGTCTCGATCCCGCCGCGTCAGTAAATCATGGATGGGGTACTGCCGAACAGCCTTGCACCCTCTCCGCGCAAGCTCGCTGCGGACACAGCTGCAGGCTCTCGGCTGCGGCGCGCTGCAGCGCGCACCGCTCAGCGCGCACCGAGGGCGTTCGCGATGACGAGCGACGCCTCGATGGACTGCGCGTAGTTGAGGCGCGGGTCGCAGTACGTGTCGTACTGCCGGGTGAGCATGTCCTCCTGAGAGCACCACGCGGTGGGGCAAAGTCAAGGCGGCCGGGGTGTGCCCCCCAGGGGGGGGGGGGGGGGGTAAGCCGTCATCGCCCGGCGCTGCTCGCAGCGCTCTGGGTGGTGGCGGCGGCGCTCCAAGAGTGGCGCTCTTGGGAAGAGGCTCCTCCTCTCCCCCTCCCCCCTCCCCCCAAGGCGCGAGACACACGCGTCAAGCGGAGGAGCACACGGGAGGCGCGAGTCGGGAGGCAGGGATGGTGGCGGCAGGAGCGGCGGCGGGGGGGCGAAGCTCCTCGATGTTGACGACGCCGCCCGTGCATTCGGTCACCGCGGCTTGGCCCGTCATCTCCAGATGGACTCCCGCGAGCGTCGAGCCGCTCTCGCGGTGCACCTGAGGAGATTCGCCGAGATTGGACGAGATTGGACGAGATTAGACGAGAGTGGAGCCGCTCTCGCGGCGCGGCGCCCCCGTGCTGGCACACCTCGGCCATACCACAGCGTCGAATCTCGGCGACTCGCGGCGACTCTCGGCGGATCTCGGCGGATCTCGGCGGATCTCGGCGACTCCCGGCGGATCTCGGCGACTCTCGGGTGATCTCGGCGGATCTCGGGTGATCTCGCACCTGTAGCGCGCGCGACACCTCGGCCATCACGTCGTCGAACTTGCGCGTCTTGAGCTTGCACGACGCTGTGACCTGCAGCCCACCGCGCGTGATGAGGTGATGACTCATTGAGCTGTTGCGCGCTCTTGAGCTCGCACGACGCTGTGGTCGTGGCGTCTAGGAAGTGTCCAGGTAGTGTCGTAGGAAGATGTCTAGGAGGAAGGAGGTGTCGTAGGAAGATGTCTAGGAGGAAGGAGGTGTCGTAGGAAGATGTGTCGGAGGACACCGTGTTGCCGTGCACGTCTCTCGGCTAGATCTCGGCTAGATCTCGGCAGCTCTCGGCTAGCTCTCGGCTATCTCTCGGCTATCTCTCGGCTAGCTCTCGGCTAGCTCTCGGCTAGATCTCGGCTAGATCTCGGCTAGATCTCGGCTTCGTCTCGACCGTGTTGCCGTGCACGCCGTCGCACTGCCAGACGACCGGCACGCCGCTCTCCTGCACCGCCTTGATGTGGGCGGGAAGCAGCGCGGCGACCTTCTCGGCGCCGTAGCGGGTGATGAGCACCAGCCGCCCCTCCACCTTGTCCGGGGCGAGGACCGCAAGTCAGTCACTCACCCGTTTGGCCATCCACTAGTCAGTGTGCCTCGTGTCGGCTCCCGAGCCAATCGTGTGCAGCGTGTGTGTGCGTGTGGGCCCGTCCTCCATGCTTGGAGGTGTGTAAGACTGACTGACTGACTGACTGACTAGTCCGCGCCGCCCCTCCACCTTGTCTGGGTTGAGGATGGCGCACAGCTCCTTCAGCTCCTGCGGCAGAGAACAGCAGCGGTGAGGAGGAGGGTGTGGGTGGGTGTGTGTGCTGTCCTCGCGCACAGCTCCGTCCCCTCCTGCGGCTGCATCGACGGCCCAACCTTGACGCCGATCGGGTTGCGGATGCCGCGAAAGTACTCGACGTGCCTACCCCGCGCTCAAAACACAGCTCATCGACTTGCCTGACGATCGGGTTGCGGATGCCGCGAAAGTACTCCGCGCGCCCGCCGAGCAGCTGGCGCGTGCGGTCGCCGATCCAGACCATGTGCGCCGACAGGTTGTAGTGCCCCTTGCCTGTGGGCGGCAGGGCGGCGCTGTGAGCCGGCAGCCGCGTTGTGAGTGCCGGACCCCAAATCTCCCCAAATCTCCCCCAGTCTCCCCACGTCTCCCCCTTGGCTGTGGCATCTGCTGCCCCTCGCCTGCGACCGGCCGCGTCAGCGCCTCCTCGAGGTCGAGCTGCATAGCCTGTTCACAGCCAGCACTGTGTGAACAGACGCCGCTCACACGCGCACCGCCTCCCAAAGTCGTCGAGCTGCAGATCTCCCCATATCTCCCCAGATCTCCCCAGATCTCCCGCCACATGACCGAGCGAGATCTCCCCATATCTCCCCAGATCTCCCCATACCTCCCGCCACATGACCGAGTGAGATCTCCCCAGATCTCCCCAGATCTCCCCAGATCTCCCTCGCCTCGTGCGCTGTGAAGACGCCAGGCTTGGTGGCCGCCGCGGCCGCCTTCGCCTTGTCCGCCGCCTTGCTCCACGCGGCGTAGTGCGGCGACGGCTTGAGGAAGTCGACGTCGAGGTCGCCCACCTGTTGAGTGCATTGGTTGATTCGGAGACTGGGATCCACCGAGGCAGTCCCTGGCCGGGGTTGTCCACCGTCGAAGCGCCGAAATCGTCCGCCATCTGCAGCCCGCGCATCGTGTTGAGCGTGGCGCACGAGTGCCAGTACCTGCCCACGGGGTGCGGTTGTCAACTCGGCGGACGGGCAGCTAAGGGGGCGTCGACCTCGATTTGATTCGGAATTGATCTTGAGGGGTGCACAGGCGCTGTCCACACTCACACGAGGTGCTTCTTCTCGGGCAGCGGTCGTATGTCGGCTAGATCTCATCTCTCGGCGGTGTCTCGCCTCCGATCTGCCAGAGCTGGAGAGTGGCGCCCACAGCTCGGCTAAATCTCTCGGCTATCTCGGCTATATCTCGCCCCTGCAGCAGCCGGTCCGGGTCCCAGGCGCGGTCGGTCGGCGCGTAGCCGTTGATGTTCTCGCCCTTGTACGACTTGATCTCGCCGAAGGAGGCGTGCTTCTCCACCGGCGACGAGCGCGGCTTCCCGTACTGCCCCGCCATCCGCGCCACCCTCACCGTCGGCATGCCGGTCGCGCTCTCCATCAGCGCGCCCATCTGCACGATCAGCTTGAGCTGGGCCTCGAGGTAGTCGGCGGTGCAGTCCATGAAACGCTCGGCGCAGTCGCCGCCCTGCACGATGAACTTCTCGCCGCGAGCGGCCGCCGCGAGCTGCTCCCGCAGCGCATCCACCTCGCCGGGCTGCACGAGCGGCGGAACCTTGGAGAGCTTGTCCATCGTCGCCGCGTACGAGTCCTGGCTGTCCTCGTACGTGGCCATCTGCAGCGTCTCGCAGCTGCGCCACGAGCCGGGCGACCACTTGCGCGCACCGACTGTCGCCACCGTCTCAACCTCCATCGGCGCCATCGGAGACTGAACGAGGTCGAAACAGTGTGGTGGGCCTACTCTGTGAATACGTTTTCCACGTATTCCAAATGACCTCCCAGAGGCCTGTATTCCACCCGTATTCGCTGGTAGGGTCGATTCCGCGGTACGGGACCCCTCGATCGTCTCGCCCTCCCTCACTGGTGTGTTCATTGGGGGGGGTCATAACAAACACGGTACATACAGGATCGAGGTGCACGCTGCAGGAGCAGTGTCGTCCCCCCTCTCCCCGACGGCGATGGCGGTGTGAGCGATCGAGCTACAAGAGGAGCTTGCTTGGTCAGCACACAGCAGGATCCGGGATAGTCAGGCGCACTACCTCACTGGGCCTGAGATCACCACACGCACGACAGCATCCCGTCACCGTCTCGGGTTTGCGTGGAAGCGTGGTCCGCGCGCATGGCATACAGGCGTTCGCCAGACAGCGCAGAGGCTGGCGACCGGGGAAGGACTAGCTCAAGGGCAACACAGCGTCACCAGCCGTTGGCGCGCAGAACGAGTCTGCGCCCCCCGGTTGGGACGAGTGCGCGACGCGGACGAACCGCTCAATGTGGCCGGCTAAAAAATTAAAAAAGAAATCATGACGGGGGTGAAGGTGGGGTACTATACCAACTAAGTGATGGCTGGTGGTACTCTCCTGCAACCATAGTCCTTCCTGTGACATGGCAGGCCACTCTCAAGCCCTACAAGCACCAGATCACCTCACTTGGGGAGGGTTGACATCGTGATTTCGGTGGAAAATTTCTTTTTCTGCTGTGAAAATTCCGGCGTGAAGAGAGAGGGGAAACCCCGACGGTGGTGGGAGGGCCCAGACCCTGCTACCCTACCTACCCCGTCATGAGGTCCGCCCAAGCAAAAAGAAATACTCTACACCTGGCTTAGGCAAACTTATGGGTAGAGGGTACTTATGCTGTGGGTGGTGACTTTCTTTTTTTTCGGTGTACTAACTCTCAAGACTCTCCCCTCCAGAGCTGTGGGTCCCTTTTGAGGCTCCCAGCAGCCACAGGGACGATGGGGGCCCCGGGGCGTTTTTCATGTTTCCCAATTCGAGGGGCTTGACCCAACTTGTTTTGGCAGTCGCGCGTCCTCAACAATAACCGCGGCAGGTAAACTCGGGGGAGGTTGGGGGGGTGCTTTTTCTCAAAAAAAGGGGCTCGCTGGGGCAACTTGTCTTGTTGGTGGGGGGGCCCCCCCCCCCCCCCCCCACCCCACACACCCCACACCCACAAGACACACAAGACACACAAGACACACACACCCCACTCGGTAAACGGAGACCACGCGCCCGCGCACTCTTGCCCCACCGGGCTCGCACTTGCGGGGGGCGGGCTCCCTGCCTGTGTCTTTGGGCGTGTGGAGCAGTATGCGGGGGGTAGACTGCCTGACTCCTGCCCCACACACACCCGCGAGGGGGAGGCATTGACCTGAGCCCTCAGGCGGCGATCTGGACCATCGCGGGCTACTCCTCCGCACGTGACTTTTGGAATCGACCAGCAGGCTGCCCGCATGATGGTTGGGATGTCCAAACGCCACCATCTTGGCTCTTGCGACCTCAAACCCGCGAGCTGTATGGGTGGTCCTGACGTCGACAGACGCCCGAGGACCACGGTGAAGCTGAGCCGGAACGGGTCGACAAGTCTCGTCTGAGCCCGTCGAGACCAGCAGGCTGCCCGCATGGACCACCGGCCCGTCAATGTAGTGGAGCGTCTTGCACAGCGGCTCGCGCGCTAGCGCAAAGGAGCCGAGCGCGTGCCACGCGTGCTTGGCCACACACTCCACCGCAGCCACGACGCGGCGGGCAGCGGTGCATGCGGAGGCGGAGGCGGCGCAGAGCGACGCGAGGAGGTACGGCTGCGCGATCGCGTTGAGCTTGACTAGCGGCAGCGAGTTGAACGACGTGACGACGCCGTCGACGACGGGGAAGCCGCCGCGCTGCATGAGCGGGCTGTGCAAGCCGCGGCCGCTCGTCGCGCGCACGGAGAGAACGGCGTGCGGCTCGGGCTCCGCCGCGCCACGCCCCACGGCCCAAACGAGCTCGCCGACGCGCACGTCCTTCGCCTGCTTGAGCTGCTTGCAGCACGTCTCTCCGACGGGGAGGTGGTGCGTCGGCGTGAGCCGCAGCGTCGTGTTGGCTGAGGTGGCGAGAGCGAGGAAGAGGGCGCCCTCCGCGCTGTGGTCGGCGAGCGACCACGGCGTGACGACGTCGAAGCCGAGCGTGCCGTCCGCCCAACCGACGAGGATGGCGTCGCCCTCGCGCAACTCGTCGAGGCGGACGGTGCGCCCATCGCGAAGGGCGGCGGTGGCCGAGCTGGGGAAGCACGGCGGATCAGGTAGCACGGGATCCACGTCAGGCGGCGGTGAGGTTGACGGCGGTGAGGGCGGCGGCGGCGGTGAGGGCGGCGGTGGTGGACTGGGCGGCGGCGGCGAGGCGGAGGGGGGCGGCGGAGACGGCGAGGGGGACGGAGGCGGCGGGGAGGGCGATGCGGAGGGAGGCGGCGGCGACGGCGAGGCGGACGGCGGCGGCGGTGAGGGCGAGGCGGACGGCGGCGGCGGGGAGGGCGATGCGGATGGCGGCGGCGGGGAGGGCGAGGCGGACGGCGGCGGCGGGGAGGGCGATGCGGATGGCGGCGGCAGGGAGGGCGAGGCGGAGGGAGGCGGCGGCGACGGCGAGGCGGACGGCGGCGGCGGTGAGGGCGAGGCGGACGGCGGCGGCGGTGAGGGCGAGGCGGACGGCGGCGGCGGGGAGGGCGAGGCGGATGGCGGCGGCGGGGAGGGCGAGGCGGAGGGAGGCGGCGGCGACAGCGAGGCGGACGGCGGCGGCGGT